ACCACTCTTGCCTGCGTCGCTATGGTAACTGATGCTCAGCAGGCAGTTTCATTTAACGTAACTGGCTTTTAGAACTTGAGGGGAAAGTATGCTTTCATGTAAGAGAAAGGGAAAGGCGAGTGGTTTAATTAACGTGTCTCGATTTAACATAGGGATACAGGTCACTTCCACTGTTTGACCATAGCGTGTGTAGCTCTGTTTTATATCTGTACCAGATCTAAGGCATCAAAGGATGGAATATTGCTCTCATCATGTGTGAAGTGTACAAAGTGGGCAGAAAAGCAGAGACGGGTTGTGTTGGACCCTTTGCGAAAGGTTTTTCACTTTATAAAACCATCTCGGCTTGAGAGTGTATAGAAGAATTGCTTCCTCTTCTCGCATCCACAAAGGAGGCCTGAGAGATGGGTTGCTAGGCAACCTCACACCGAAGACTGGGGCTCTTTGAAATTAACATAGCTGACCTCCCCGTCAGCTCTGCAGCTCTGCTATTCAAAACCATTTTGTGAGGCCGTAGGATGCAATAAAATAGCTATAAAATGTAAATACAAAAATAAAGACTAAGGGAAATACATCTAACTTTTTCCAGCAAAGACCAGGATTCTCTCAATGAAAAAGGCAACAGTATGAAAGGGCAGGTTGAGGGGAAAATGGTGTTAGTGGCTAGAAATCTAGAAACTTGTATTTTGAGTAATCTAGGAAGCAAAATCTCCTATGTTTTTAGAGATGTTTATAACTGCCACATAAACTATCATAGCAAAGGGTCTGAAAATACGTGAGGGCAAACACAAATCAGTTTATGATAGTAAGATCTGCTACATATTTTTAACAAAACGCTCAACTCTCAGTCCTCAGAACGTGATGTTTTGCTTAAGCTCCAGAGTCTCCTATTCTCCTTCCTGCCACTACATCATTAATATGACACTGGTTAGTGTGGGAAGGGATGGCATTTATTTTCCAAGTAGATGAATATTTGGAGGGAGATTGCAAAGCTGGTTTATGGAGCAAAGCATACACTCTTGTCAGCAATAAATTATTTAGTTTGATTTTTAAAATACCTCATACCACTGCAAAATGCTTATGGCAACACTTTGATAGGTTGTTAAATTTATCAACATTAAAATCAATCAAAATTGGTGGTGCTGAGGAAGGTGGGGGACAGCAAACAAATCTTGAGGTCTTTAGTAGGTTTGTTTTTTGTCATGAGTGTTGGGTGAAGCAATTCTGAAACTATTTTAGATGGATTATAGGATTGAAGAAATGAACAAATATGTTGAGGTTGTTGGGACTCAAGGTCTCACTGTGGAAGAAGGGAGGTACAAATGAAGACTGGGGGAAAGCAAGAAAGAACCCAACATGATAAACTGGAATTGGAGAAATGGATGTAGTTTTGTGATTTCTAAAATATGTGTGTGTGTATTTATTTGTGCACTCATGTGTATGTGCACACATATATGTGTATACATGTGTACGTGTGCATATGCATGCATGTTTTTTATTTGCTCAAAGTGTTTACATTTCTTTTTAGAAGATTTATTTATTTGAGAAAGAGAGAGAGAGTGAGCAAGGGGAGGGGCAGAGGGAGAGGGAGAGAATCTCAAACAGACTCCCCGCTGAGTGCAGAACCAGACACAGGGCTCTATCTCATGACCGTGAGATCGTGACCTGAGCTGAAACCAGGAGTCAGACACTTAACCGACTGAGCCCCCAAGGTGCCCCTGCTCAGAGTGTTTAGAAACAGTTCACCCTAGTAGCAGTGAGCACTTTAGCAGTAAGATCTTGATCTCTAACACCATCCCCTCACTAAAGGGAACCAGGGCTCCTTGGAGAAACTGCTGACTGCAGGGCTGGGGAAGGGCAATTAGAAGTTCAACCCAAGACATTTTGTTATACTAGAAAGTAGGGAAGTGCTCAAAAAGAAAAAAAAAAAAAATGATGGGGGCATGTCCCAAGGCCAGAGGAGTCAGCTTAATGCAGGTCCCGCTGGCCAAATCTGAAACAATTCAAGCACCAAAATAAGGACATTAGTGACTTATGAGTCATTGGGGAGGGGGGAATAAAAAGAATTCATGAATCCATAAATAATAGATTAATTCACAAAAAGTAAAAAATAATAAGAAAGGGAGGGGCTCTTGCTTACAGTAAAATGCTGAGGGCTGACTGGTTGGTACATGTGGAGAATGTGCTGATGACAGACGGGACTGTCTTTTATAACCATCATGGTAAAGAAGAGATCAGGAAAGAATCATGCTAACCTAGGGAATATTTTTGAAGAAGAGTAGACTATTTGTATGATCTAAAAGTATCTCCTCACAGATTGGTTACTAGGTACAAGGGAAAACACTAACAACTCCAGAGTGGGAAAATTTGACTGGGTAATCAAAATTAATGTCATCAACCAGGACAGATGGACACGATGTGCTTCCAGAGGATACCCTAAGGACAAGGCATTACTTATAGGATTATGGCCAGGTGTGCTCAATGTAAATCTAACCGTGAAGAGCTTTCAGACTATCCCCAAATGAGGAACAACTCTACAATAAAGAAAAGGGCTGGATGACTGTATCCTTCAGACATGGCTGTGTTACAAAAGACAGAGAAAGGTTGTGGGAATTGCCCCAGCTTTAAACAAGACTAAAGAGGCATGACAAGCAATGCAGTCCCCGATCCCAGAGTGGAACCGGACTGGAGGAAAAGGATGCTATGGGATAGAGGACATTATGGCACCAACTGGCAGTAGAGTGGGAGATTAAAATTCCTGTGTCGATGTTAAATATACTCAAGCTCACGACTGTACTGTGACTGGAGAAGGATTTCCATTCTTGGGAAATACACAAGAAAGTACTTAGGAGAACAGGGGCATGTATAATATATGCAACTTACTCTCAAAGTGCTCAGAAAAAAATTCTATGTATGGGTATGAGTATCTAAGTGTGTATGCATCAACGTATACAGAAACATACGTAACCACACAGAGAAGGCACACAGGATGGAGCCTTGAGGTAAGACAGTGGCAATATTTTTATATCTGAGTAAACGGCAGGTGGGTAGTCTTTGTACTTTCTTATTCATGCAACTTCTGTAAGTCTGAAAAGATTTCCAAATGAAAAGTTAAAGTCAACCAAAAAAGCAAAAAAATTCCCTTTTTGTGAAAATAAAAACAATTTGCACTGGAACTAAAATAATGAATATTTGACATTTTAAGAAATCTATGAAAACAACAATAACAAAAGCATACAAAAAGATCCGACACTGTAACTTAAGAGTTATGTGTTTAGCACAAAGAAGTGCTAGCAGGATCCAGACACACCCTGTTTGTAACATTTCTTCCTCTTGCCTCTTTGTGGGGCATATGTTCAATCATTTTTACTTTGCTCTTGGGTGTTCTCAAAATCCTGGACTTTCCCAATTCCTAAATTCCCCTCCAAATGTCCTCTGCACTTTGTGACTTAAGTGAAATGTGAAAAATCGGTCAGACGTTTTTCAAGAAATTGTATGTCAGGGGAGAAGTTTTTATTCATTAACTAGAGCAATTTCAAGTATTTAACTTAAAGTGTTTGAAAAGAGCATTTATAAAACTGCTTAGCATTTTAGCACATTTTTTTTTCCTTCTAAGTTTTTAAACTTAGTTTTTCAAAGAAAGTTTAATCTCTAACTGGGGAGCAGAACCTCTTACCCTGGCCCATTAAAAGTGAGCATACTACTACTTCCCAGCTCTGTTTGTGATTTAAAAAAAAAAAATTTTTTTTTAAACTTCTTACATCATTTACCCATTAAAAATAAAAGTAGCCTGTCTTTGGCGGAAACTGAAATAGTAATTACCTTCTTAAAATACCCTTATTTATTTTTTTTTTAAACAGAGTTTCTTTTACGTTGCCAAAACAATTTGTTTGAAGAAAGATAAAAATAACATGCACACTATTTGAAAACAGTTTGGTTTAAAGATTGCCATAGCTTCTAAGGTTATACCACTCGGAAGGAAGACATTTAGAACCTGCTCATTACTCAGCTTTCATTTATGGGATCAAATTGCTTTTGTGGGCATGGTGCCAGATTCATTTATGTGCACTGTAAGGCAGATTGTAGAGTGAAGCATTTTTCTAGAAAACATCTGGTTCTTAAGAAGAGTATTAAAAGGTGGGTAGCACTTTTTTCCGCCCATAACTATGATTTATTATGTTACAGTAACCCCCCTCTAATCTGGCAGGCAGACTTCCAGCAACCACCACCAGGAACCTGGAAGTAAGTGAAAAATACTTCAGAGCCCAAGGAAAACAGAGGCCCCCAAATTCCATGCATATGAAGCAGTGGTACTGCATTTAGGTCAAAGTCCATTTTATTTATTACAAAATTATTGGAGTCAATTAGCATAAGAGCTCCCGAGGCCACCTTTATCTGTCAGACCTCTTTTCTGCAGTTTTTTGGTTCTGATATTCTCCTTACAAAAATCACACATCCCTGCAAACTCTTATTCTTCTAAACGCCCCCGGACCCTCACCCTTTTCCTACTCCAGTTTGCCCCTCTTCTCTTTCTTGTACCTTCAATATCTGTTGGCTTTAAATATTCCAAGATGCTCAAGTAGCTCCTATCTTAGAAACCAGAAAAACGAAGCAAGACACTGGTCACATCACAGGGCTCTGCAGCCGGCATGCCCCCCAAGCCCTTACCCTCGGCTCTGTATCTGTATCCTAGGCTGTCTGCTGTCTGTAACTCACCTTCCATTCACAGGGCTGTTACTAACCTACAAGGAATCTTGGTTCAGATTAGAAGAGGGGGCCCTCTTCCTCCAAGGAGGGGGGGGGGGAGGCTCAGGACACAAAACTGAACAACCACACTTTGTGGCCCTGTGTGAGTTCAGTTATTTCCACTGGCTTCTTATTAAATTTGGTAGGATCATCACTAGAACTTTACTAGAATATGAGCTAAAACTGCAGAGAACTGGCTTTGCTCTCAATTTTTCTGCACTTGCGAGGCTGTGCTCTTTACCCATTTTGACGAGAGAAACTTCTAGCCTCTTTAGTAATCCCATGTTCTCCTATTATCATGACTATTACCACCCCGTTAACATTTCCCGCAGTCTTTTTTTATCTTCTACATCCTGAATCTTTTCCTCTGACAAGTGAAATAAACCAGATTACATTCTGCATAAACAATTAGTAGTAAAGTGTGGGTGTTAAGAGTTGAAAGAATGTTAGCTTTTGTTTAGTTTTTCCTACTCATCTTTGCTCAGCTAAAGAACTTTAAACAGTCAGCAAGAAGCAAGTTTGAGAACATTCTCTAAAAAAAAAAACCACAAATTTTTTTAGTGTATATGTTCATTGCAGCTAACTTGTAAAATAAATACATTTCTGATTATTTCAGCACTCAGATATAATGAGTTAAAATTTGGGTTAATTTCTTTAAAAAAAAAAGATTTATTTATTTGAGAGAGAGCATGAGTCGGGCAGGTGGGGGGGTGGAGGGAGAGTTCGGAGAAGCAGAGTCCCCGCTAAGCAGGGAGCCTGACGTGGGGCTCGATCTCAGGACCCTGGGATGATGACCTGAGCCGAAGGCAGATGCTTAACTGACTGAGCCACCCAAGCGCCTCCCAAAAATTGGGTTAGTTTCCTCTGGTTTTGTATGTATTTATATCCATGCATCTATTTTTTTCCAAGTTAATATTTTATATGGAGTTATGTTTCCTGCTATTTTGCTTATTATTTTGTGAGAACTTTAGCAGTTAAAAATCTTTGAGTAGTTTTAAAAAACACATAAAAACATCTTTGAAAATAGTTTTGATGACTACATAGTATTCCATTATTGGGTAAACTTTAATATATTTGACCACTTCCTTTATGTTGAGTGTTTTGGTAACAAAAACAACAAACCCAAAAACCAAAAAATAAGCTTTCTGCTGTTTGTTTTTTTTAACTGAAAAATTTCGAGAAATTTCTGAATATCTCCCATGAAAAACTTTTCTAAGTGCGATTACTCAAAGGACAAGCTCTTAATTCATGCTGCCGAATGCCCTTCAGGAAGGCTGACTACACTGTACCAGGAGAGTATGAACGTGTTAGCTTCCCTGCACCTTTGCCAGTCCTTCATGTATTACTTCACCAGCGCTAGCAGTGCTATATAATCCTATTATAAGGCTAGTCGCTTGTCTCCAGTCCCAAACTAAAAGTTTCTGTCAGTCTTAATTGGTCATTTGGTTTCCACAGCGACTCTACTACTCTAGTAGGGACTAGATGTACCCTAATGCAAGGTTCAACGTAGCTTCCTCAGCTGTACATGCGGAAAACCCTTCCAGAACTGCTCTAGGTTCTTAACTTCTAGGGAAGAAAGCTATTTCTTCTTGGGACCCAGTTCATACTAGCTGGCTTAAGGTCAAAGTGCATTAAACTTGTAACTGCTTCCTCACCATGAGGGGATGGTATTCTGATCCGAGGTTGATAGAAGATTCTTTCATGTTGTGCTCCTCTGCTGTCCTTAGTGCAGTCCCCAAACTCTCATTTCACCTGATTCCTTCAACTAGCAGTTTGAGTTCCCGCTTTCCTCGATATGTGATCTTGGGTATGTCACCTAAGGCCTGGTCATAAACCATGCCTCAGTGAACAAGAAGACATCAGAGACTGGTTAAGCGCTAAACAGTTTAAAAAGGGTGATAAGATACAGCATGACAGGATGGCTACTTTAGACTGTGGGTCCGGACGTGGACATGGCCTCTGATGAGGTGACAATAAACTGACACCTGAAAGAAAGAAAGAATAAGCCTAGAGCAGGAAGCTCGGAGACAGGAAGCAGGGTAAGGGAGAGGAGAGCAGGGAGAGAACCCCAGGTTAGAGAAGGCTAGAGCAAAGGCAGAGATGGATGAAGAGATTATGCATGTAAAGAGTACAGCACAGTGTTTGGTGTGGGGAGGGGAGAGGACAGAGGGGAAAAGAGAAGGAGTAGGGTGGGGAGGAGGGCGAGCATGAATGAGAACCCTGAATCCCGTTCAGCTGAGCGGTCTTGGGGAACTCACTTGTCCTTTTTATCTCACCTTGGACTTCATTTTTTTCTTCTGTGAAGGTTTTTCTCAGTTGCAGTTACTACTTGGCCCTGTTCCACTCATAAGAAATAAGTAGAGCCACTGTTCATTAAGAGCCTAAGTGAGTCAGGTTCATTACACGTTTTATGTATGTTTTCTCATTTAATCCTCACAACGACCTGAGGCAGATTATCCTTATACGCTTCTTTATGGATGAGAAAACAGAAGCTCAGAGAACCTACATAACTTGAGAAAGATTAAACACCTAGTAAGCGGTAGAACCCAGCTGAAACCCAGGCTGGTCTGATTTCAAATCCATGTACTTAACTGCCACACTACACTACTCCTCAGCTAGACTTCCTTTCGGTAATTTCACGTTTGTAAGAACTGTTCACTCCACTCAGTTCATCTTGTTCCTCATTACTTGACTAGCTCTGTGATAGAACACTTAGTTTCTTCTGCTGGCCAGATGTGGACAAGAGAATTTTTTCTTATAGACACAATCCCTCTTACTGATGCAAAATGTCCTAATATAGGAAACAGGGCGTGAGCTTTGAAGTTGTCTGGGTCAGTATGGCATCCAGATTCTGACACTTTTTCTGTGACCTTGGGCAAATCATTTAGTTTGAAACTCCATCCTCCTCATCTGAAAAATAAGAGTATTATTTCTCTGGGAAGCTGAGTGTAAATTAGAAGACATAATGTAAGTAAAGTTCTTAGAATAGTACCTCACAAATGGCAGGTGCAAAATATTAAGTGGTTGCTAAAGAAACAAAAACAAACTCCCCATTTTACAGATAGGAAGACTGATCTGGAAGTGTCTTGCTGGGAGAAGAGATGTTCTACTTTCTCTATCCAATTTCCAGGACTCTAGCATTCCATGATGCAAATTCACTGGAACTACTTAAGGTACTCTGTTATATAATATCCTTAACAACGTCCATTCAGGCTGAATTACAAAGAAAGAGCTAATCTGCCGCAGTTCCAGAATCACACATTCTAGGGTTCTGGTGATCAACTGTAATAAGACACATGAAAGTGTTCTAACAGATATGAAATGCTTCATAAATGCTCTTAAATATTTTCATGAAATGCCATAAATAAGGTAGGTGAACAAGAAGAATGATGAGAATTTTATGACGTATAACTGGAATTAGAAGGACTTTGGAAAATTGCAGAAGTAGTCAAAAACAAGAGAATATAGCTCAAAAAAAATAAACATAGGACACTTACAAGCAACAAGCGACTTAAAAATACTCTGTATTTATTGGAAATGCAAATGAAAGAGTAGACCCTATTTATGGTATTCTTAAAGACAACTGAAAAAGATGTAGACAACAAGTCAGAAGTAATGCTGAACACTGAGTTGATTAAGATTAGGTTAAATTTAACCTGAGAGGCTGAGAGCCGCTATGCCAGAGGGTGGCAGGCACGGTAAGGGAAGCAGCTGTTTTCACAGGGTGTGCCTGGGAGTCCCTGCTGACCAAAACTGTCCTGTCGCCCTTCCCGGCCAGATGTTACCGTGTCTCAAGTGCCATCAAGAGATCTAGTCTTCGGGCTAAGGTGAATTATTGCTCTGAGAGTTTACCTATTTCAACTGATTTCACATCCAGATTATTTCTTAAGATCACATTGGCATCGAAAGCAGAAAGAATGAGTTCAACAAAGGGAATGGAAGCTCCCATTCTTTACACTTTTCCAAAAAGATTTTTCTAGGAATGTCACATATTCCAACTACTCATTAACAGTGCAAATTGTTTAGGGGGCTTACCCTGGTTTTGCAAAACTTACCACGTCTTTTGAGTTCCAACAGCAATACAAACCATACATTTATAAAGTTTTTATTAAAATATACTTTTTCTTTTCATACATTATTTACAAGAACATTTTCTCAAACCTTTCAAACAACAGAGAATGTTACAAAAAAATTTTAACAAAGAACAAAAGCATTTTGAATGTATTTCCTGAACTAAACAACTAATATTCCTTAGAAAAGACATAGGATACTTAATTACCTCGTATTTAACAAAATATTCGTTATAGAAATGGGTTATAATCTTTACCACAGAGACACCAAATCTGCTCCTAATCAAGAAAGTCAATCAAATAAACCAGCTCCCACGGACCTTCTCCATCAGAAACCCAGCCATTTGACATAGCATTTCTCTTTATATACAATAGCGGCCTCTGCTGGAGAAAGGAAAGTATGCTTCTGTTACAAAGTTTTAGCTCAAACCTATTCTGAACTACAGGAACTGAGACCTGTCATTTCCTGCATAACCAACAAACTAAATTAAACTACTTTTCAAGGCCTCAAAGATATACGGGCCTTATCAAGTATATCCTTCCTGATTTTTGGATAAGTTGGATGTCCTTCAAGAACCTGCAAACACAAAAAAACCAAAAACAAAACTAAAGCACGAGAACTCGTAAATGATTACTGAGAACTGGAGAGCTACAGAACTTGCTGGAAATGAGCATTACAGTTGAGATTTCATTGTATTAACACTACAAATATAACAACCCTTCTTAAAGGTGACAGCTGAAATGTGACATAACTCATAGTAATAGTAATTAGATGACAACAACAGAATACAAATACATGTGGGAAATACAACAAATATACTTACTTCCTTAATAGATCAGTTGCAAAAAAACAAGTATGTATCAATGATTTTAAGTATTTAGAAAATTTAGGCTATTCATATGATACTTAAAAAACCCTTACAGAGTTATTTTTGACCAGGAGCACACATCAGATTTACCTGGAGGGATTTTGAAACATATGAATTTCCAGGTCTACTGAGTCTAGGAGTGGGGAGATAGTCATTTTTAAAAGAATTAACGCACAACCTTAACCTTAATGTGAAATACTGCCTTGCAGAGTTCAGTAATCAATAGCAATCACTGAAGCCACGTATTTGCTATAATGATGCTGAGACAGCGATCTGGGGTATGAGACATTACATAATTCTTTTCTAAGGAGCTTTTCTTGGAGTTCCTAACCATGTTGAATATAATGCCTTATCTGGAACAATGGGGCAATGCCTTATATATCAGCGAGACAATGTATATATAAAGAAGCTGCCAATTCTAGGGGCGCCTGGGGGGCTCAGTCATTAAGCGTCTGCCTTCGGCTCAGGTCATGGTCCCAGGGCCCTGGGATCAAGCCCCGCTCCGTGGGGAGCCTGCTTCTCCCTCTCCCTCTCCCCCTGCTTGTGTTCCCTCTCTAGCTGTCTCTCTCTCTGTCAAACAAATAAAATCTTTAAAAAACAAAACAAAACAAAACAATGTACATATAAGGAAGCTGCAAATTCTAGAAGTGTAACTTAAGTATTTGTCATTTTAGTAAGGGATCGTTTAGTTAGGGATCAATTACAGAAATGTAATCGAATGACTTCTAAATAACAGAAATACCTCTTATCTCTGATTTATAAATCTGAATTCTCTACTAACCAGACTTGGACACATTCACAAGAACTTCATTCAGAACAATGGCTTGGAGAATCAGTAGTTTTATTTCACATGCTTCTCCTCTAGCCTCTTTCACTTGATAGAAACATTTTATTATTGGAGCCCCAATTAAAAACATGTTTAAGGAAACTTGATCATTTTCTAAACTTGGAAAGGTGGTAATCTCTCTCAGATGTATCTGATGAGTCATTTAACCAAAACACAACATTCTCTACCTCTATTCATGTACATCTTGAGATGAACTAAAAGTAGGAAATCGTGCAGCTGAAAAGTTTTAAGACATCTAAATTGAAGTGTTACCTGGTGACATATGTCAATGGCATCCACATATCTTTTTGCTTTTAAGTAATTAAATGCCAGTTTGTATCCTGTTAAGACAAAAAAAAAAGAAAACCATAATGATGTAGTACTATTTACAGAGCACACGGCTAGCATCACCTTTTTTGCCTCCTCCTTTGTTTGCTTACTCATGGGAGAAGTCTAAAAGAAGGCTAGAAGAGAGAGGTGATGGGATGATGGGAGGGAGAACAGGTACAACAGAAAATGGAGCTGGAAAAAGGCCTGCAGTGAGAAGACTGCCATCCTGCAAGATGGCTTTTGTAACTTACTAACAAAGTCCCATTTATGTCAGGTTACAGTGCAGACTCATCACCGGACAATAAACGATACCACAGCTATCCATTTAGATAGCACAGATTTGTTTCGCCCTTAACATGTCAGGCACACTGTTCCGACAGGCAGGAGGTTTGCAGTCTATTAGGAAATAATGTAGGTTATTTAAAAAATCACACAAGTAAGTTACCACTTTCAAAAGTGAGATAAATGGTATGAAAGCAAGGTACGGGCCAAGAACCCTTGAGTAAGAAACCTGGATGGGGAGAGGGCGGGTATCAGGCGACGCTTGCAGTCAGAAGGAGGAGGCCTGCACTGAAGCGTGAACACTCTTAGGCAGAGGAAGCTGCTCTGATAACAGGCGGTGGTGGGAGCCACAGGAATGGAACAGACCAGAGTACAACGTGACAGGGCAGAGCAGGTAGGACAGCCGCCCAGAAGAGGGTAGAGTAGTCGCCAGACATTCCACATCAACCATAAGTAACAACGATCGCAAGTACTGATACTGAAGTGCCAGGGTTCAAATACATTTAAAATAAGGTTTTAAGACAGTCTTAAAGGACTGCTGTTTTTCCATAAGAACGCTATGAGAGTTAGCAAACAGAAGGAGATAAGAAAGTAACAGTGGCATTGTACCCACAAATGCGAAGTGATATACCACGGTGTAAAATAGTATGTGAAAATTCATAAATTTGGTATTTCACTTTACGTCTTACAAATATAAGTTAGGTACATTTGAATGCTGCTCCTGGGCCCTAATAAAAGTACCAAAGCATTTTTTTTTTTAATTTCAAACAAATATTTGAAAAGAATTACTGGCTAATGTAATCATAAGGTAGTGAACAGTAAGAGAGAGGAATTACCTAAAATTCATAATATTTGATATAAACACACATAAACATACATGCCTATAAAATTGTCAATGATGAAAACAGTAAGTTTCAGAGAGTTAAACTTGATACCATTACCAAGGAAATGTAAAACAGGCTAAAAATAAAGTCGGTGACATTTAAAAAGGAAAACAATTTAAGATGTCATGCCATGTCAATCATACTTTACATGGAAACTAGAGCCAAAAAGCCTGGATTTCAGTTTTGGTTTCTGGCTTCCTGACTAGCTTGGAGACCTGAGCAAGTCAGGTGAGCTGTCAATTTCAAGTTTCCTCACCAGAACCCCACCCCCAACTCCTAGTGCGATTTTTTTTTTTTTTTAAAGATTTTATTTATCTGACAGAGAGAGACACAGCGAGAGAGGGAACACAAGCAGGGGGAGTGGGAGAGGGAGAAACACGCTTCCTGCGGAGCAGAGAGCCCGATGCGGGCTCGATCCCAGGACTCTGGGATCATGACCTAAGCCGAAGGCAGACGCTTAACGACTGAGCCACCCAGGCGCCCCCCTAGTGCGATTTTAAGATCAAATGAAATACTTGTGAAATGCTTTTAAGTTTTAGAGTGCCACACATATATTAGCAATTTAGTCAATTACTAAATTGGAAGCACAAAGTTTTAATGTTGGAAGAAACTTGATGGATCATCTTGCCCAAAAAATCTGAGAGAGGAAATAAAGGGCCAGAAATGGCGAAAAAAATGTGCACTGCTGTCACATTACACCTGTCAAGCTTATAAAAATTCAACACTATGTAATCGGCGGGGGGAAAGGTAGCAGGGGAGGGGAGTGGAGAGAGGAATATGGACACTGCGAACAGTCTCGTTAGTGGTGCCTGTGCCCCCAGAATGGGTGCAGAGGGGCAGACACAGATGTGTTTTCTTCCTGGCTCTCCGTTCCCGGTGCTTCTCACAGCGATAGCACTCAAGCCTGAATCTCACGGAAAGAACAAGACCACGATTTGAAGGATTTCCTGACAACTGAAAAAGTGAAATGCACTGTTAACTTGGCCAGGCAATTGCGGGTGTTAGATGTAATGACCACCTGAAGGAAGAAACTAAAGAATGAATTAAGAGCCTCAGGGAAAACTTACCAATGAGAAGTCCCCAGGGAAATTGATAAAATCATCTATAAAATACACAGATGACACAATGGAAGAACTAATGAGTTAGAATCTCTGTATTTGCTGAAGTCTTCCAAGGAATAGAATGTTTAAATCATTTAACTTCTAAATGTATACCTTCTATGGAATAAAGTATCAAAATTACATATATTTTTAAAGACATTTAAGGAATTTTCATTTTACAAGCTGACTTGATTCTGTAGGATACAGGATACTTGAGAAGGAAAAATACCATCAACAAATGGTACTGTATTAGTTCCTCTGCCCTATACAAGTCTAGTAAAGTAACAGAACCCAGAAAAATACATGGTGGGGGAAGTCCTGAACTAACAGCAGTTAATGTAAAGATGACCTATCGGACTGCAAATTAAATCTGAGTCCATACCATGACATGGCTGCTAAAGACAGATGCCACCTTAAGGCCGAATTAACAACTACTAAAATGCCTGATAAAAAAACCAGCTTGATTATACATAATCTTAAGTATAATTCAGGAACTTGTTCATTTCTAGTACAACAGGTCAGGAGGGGCATGGACCAGTAAAACGGCCTTTTCCAAACTCATTTGGCCATGAAATCTAATCTCCTCATACTCAACTCTCTCTTTTCATTTGTTCTTTTTTGTAAAGAAATAACTATTAATATCTCACCAAGTATTCCAAAGCACAGATTGGGAAGCACTATTTTAGAGTTTCCAGGAGACAGCAACAAGGAGGGTGAAAGATTTGGAAGCAAGTCTCAGGAAAAATGGGCAAGTAACTGAGATAGTTTGAAGAGATGTGTTCGGAGAGACAGGACAGAAAGCTGAATTAGAGTACACCACACGTGTAAGAAGGAAAGGGCTCTGTGGGTTGCTCTAGAAAGAAGACCTGGCAGCTTCAATGCAGCATATTTCAGCTCAGTACAAAGAAAGGGAAGAACATAGGGATGAGCTCCCTCACAATGTGGGGGGAGGCTAGTCACTAAGTATATCCTGGATCTGTCTATCTGGTAGGGATGTTGGAGAGCGCATTCCTTGAGTCTATCACTGGAACAAGCTGATGTTTCTCGATGCTCAGGAAAAAAAAATGTCTACGGTCATACTATCGGGGGAAACATGTTCCCTCTGTGACATCCATCATCATTTACATTAGTGTATAAAAGCACAGAGGGCGCCTGGGTGGCTCAGTTGGTTGAGCGACTGCCTTCGGCTCAGGTCATGATCCTGGAGTCCCTGGATCGAGTCCCGCATCGGGCTCCCTGCTCGGCGGGGAGCCTGCTTCTCCCTCTGACCCTCCCCACTCTCATGTGCTCTCTCTCTCTCATTCTCTCTTTCTCAAATAAATAAATAAAATCTTTAAAAAAAAAAAAATAAATAAAAGCACAGAGAAGTCCTGCAATAAAGAAACCTACAGAACTTGATTTAATGAAATGTTTTCCTAACTGACCTGACGCGGGAACACTTTTCCCCCCAGCATTACCATTCAGAAATGGCTGAGGGTTAAGGGAGAGAAAGGGGCAGAATTAGATTAGATGTCCTTTAAGGTGACTGAGGACCAGTTTGAATCTCAAGAAATTATACTTAATAACTATTAAGTTAATAATCTATTATGAATATAAAATTTATTTTTTCAGAAGGACTAATAAAGGAAGTTGGCTCTTAATGTATATTTTGTTCTTAAAAAGAAATCAAATGCATTTAAATGAAGATTTACAAATAGAACCCAAGTTTCCAGTGAAAACCTGTACCTAATTTGTTAAACTCACCAACTGTTGGATTTGTCTGATTGCCATGTTTCCACGCCATCTCATAGTTTAAGGCAGCATCTGTGTATGCTTGCTCTTTTTCCATAATGTACCCCATATATTCATAAGCTTTGCAGCAAGACTGAAGGAAAATGGAAGATGTATTAATAGATTAAACTTGATTTGATGGGGTGCTTAGGACTGTAGAGGTCGACCACATTAAGTCATTTAATGGGCTCATAAAACAATGTTTTTCAACCTTGGCTATGCAATCAAATCATCTATGGGACTTAATAAAAGATTCTAATCAAGCCCGACTCCCATTCCCCCCAGAGTCAGGATTTTTAGGGGACAGGCAAGGGAATGTATATTTTACATATATACATATACAGTTTTTATTACAAATAATTTCAAGTTAAAATTTACAGTGTAATGAACCCCATGAACCTCTATCTTCAACAATTAAATCACGACTAATACTGTTTTAACATCTACCTCCCCATACTCGTCCTTCTGTATTAGCAAATAAAAAATCCTCAGATATTGTACCATCTCATTCATAAATATTTTAGTATGCTTCTTTAAATATAAGGACTTCCTTTAAACAGAACCACAGTTTATCATACCTAAAACGTAACAACTCCTTGGTATTACCAAATATCCAGTCATTATTCAAATTCCAACTGGTCTCAATATAATTTTGTTTTGTCTTTAGTTTGTTAGGATGATGAGCCAAACAAGGCCCACATGTTGTGACTGGCTAAAATGTCTCTTAATTTTCCTTTGATTTAGAGGTTTCCCTTCATTTCTTTCCAGGTCTCCTTTCTTGCGGTTAAATGTAGCAAACAAGAATTTTTATCCTTGAGTTTGTCACAGCCCAGATTTAGTTGAGTGCATCCTTGCGGTGCTTATGTAATGTATTCCCATGTCACCGATATCTGGAAATTATAATTAGATCTAGAGGTTTAAATTTGATTTCAATCTTTGGGGACAGAGGTGAAAGGACTTCAGAGGTCAGTGCCCTGCTGAGCCACATTGGAGCCTGAGGCAAAAGGAAAAATGTATACATGCTTTTGTGATTTTTTAATTGCTAATTTTTTCCCAAACATTAATTTTTACAAATCAAACTGAAAAGCGGGGATGTTGAAATTCACATTTTAAATCTGGATATTTTCTTTATACCCAGACAAAATTTATTATTTTATTTTCCTGACTTTAATGGGAGTAAATATGTCAATAATATTTTCATTAAAATCATTACCCATTGAAAAATACATAAAAACATGGATATGGAGGCATACATTTCCCCTTTTGTTTCTGGCTTCAAAGCGTTCAGCACAGCACTGTCAGATGCTATTTATTTGTCATTTTGATTTAAAAAATATTGCATTAAATTATTTATAATAATTTTTATTATAATTTGTTATAATATTCTATAATAATCTTGATTAAATGCTTATTTATCTACAGTGGACTCGATGTTTAAAAAATTCATACATTGAAACCCTCACCTCCAGTGTGATGGTACTAGGAGATGGGGTCTTTGTGAGGGAATTCGGTTACGAGGATGGAGCTCTCACGAATGGGACCAGTGTCCTTATAAAAGAGACCCCAGACAGTTCTCTCACCCTCTCCTTCCACCATGTGAGGATAAAACAAAAAGTTGGTGGTCTGCAACCCAGAAGAAAGCCCTCACCAGAACTGAACCAGGCTGGCATCCTGATCTTAGACTTCCAGCCTCTAGAACCAGGAGAAATCAGTTTCTGCTGTTTATAAGACACCCGGTCTATAGGACTTTGTTATAGTAGCACCAGCTGCTGAAGATAATTCCTGAGACTTAAAGTGCCCTTTTAAATTCTGGACCCCAAGTGAGGGTTTGACTTGCTCACCCCGGTCCGGCCCCGTCATAGATGGCATGTTCTTCCCTCAGGAGGCACATAATATCAGATTCTCTTTTTATGATGTTAAATCCATTCATTAATTTATCAGGGATGGAAAATGGTGATAGTCTCTCACTCTTCATTTATTAGCTGGGAAATACCTATCATGAGAAATGTCTCCTTTTATGCTCTATTGTTGCCCAGTAGTAGAGTTCACACAGAAAAGGTAGGCTAAGTGCTTAATGCCTTCCCTTCATTTGCTGGCTTCAGAAATAACGGTTCATGAGCATAGTTCAGTGGAGACCAATTAGGTTTTTGATTTCTTTTTTCTTTTTCGGGTCTTTGTAAACTCATGGGATTTAAACTTATTTGGTGTGTTTCAATCCACTGCAGTTACTATTCTTACTGACAGTTAATGTGTTCCAACTTTGGCTAGTGCGAGTGTCTTCAAGTTGGCTCCTAAGTCCTTGACGGGACTCTAATCATCTTCGATAGCTTCCTTGCCATCTGGTATGACAAGATGGTCTAGTATCATCTTGTGCATTTCTGTCCCAGATCTGGATGATCTCCATCTTTTAATTATACAATTCAAGGTTTCTAAGCTCTAGTTCCTGAATCTCATGCTTCCAATATTGACATGTCTAATCAGCCAAACTGGCGCCTCTGAAGTAGCCATCGTGTTCAACCAGGCAATATATCGTTGTCAGTGTTCTGGCAAACTGAAATTCTGTCTGTACTGAAACCCCAATTCCCCCGTAATCTTGCTTAATCCTAGACTAGGCACGTAAGGGTCAGCCATCTGGCAGTTTACATTTTTCTTTTTCCTTTTTTTTTTTTTTTATTGAAGTAGAGTTGACCCACAATGTTACATTAATTTTAGGTGTACAACAGAGTGATTTAACAAGTCTATACCTTATGCTATGCTCATCACAAGTGCAGCTACCATCTGTTATCATACAATACTATTACAATATCACATATTCCCCATGCTGTACCTTTCGTCCCCATGACTTATTCATCCCATAATTCATCCCATAACTGGAAGTCTGTATCTCCCATTTCTCTTCACCCATTTTGCCCATCCCCTTACTCCCGAACCCTCTGGCAACCATTAGTTTGTTCTTTGAATTTAAGAGTATGTTTGTTGTTGTTGTTGTTTGTTTAGATTCCACATATAAGTGAAATCTATGGTATTTGTCTTTCTCTGACTTATTTCACTTAGCATAATACCCTCTAGGGTCATCCAATGTTGTCACAAATGGCAAGGACTCATTCTGTTTTATGGCTGATAATATTCTATTGTATATATATGCCACATCTTCTTTATTCGTTCATCTATCAATGTACACTTGTATCACTTCTTTTTATTTTTTTTAAAGATTTATTTATTTATTTACTTAGAGAGAGAGAGAGAGAGAGAGAGAAAACATGAGTGGGGGAAGGGCAGAGGGCCTAGAGTGGGGGGGGGAGAGAGAGAGAGAAGCAGACTCCTGAATTAGTACTTTCATTTTCTTTGGGTAAATACCCAGTAGTGGAATTATTGGATCATATGGTATTTCTACTTTTAATTTTTTTGGGAACGTCCATACTGTTTTCCATAGTGGCTGCACCAATACACATTCCCACCAAAAAAAAAAAAAAAGGAAAAAGAAAAATGTAAACTGTCAGATGGCTGACCCTTACGTGCCTAGTCTAGGATTAAGCAAGATTACAGGGGAATTAGGGTTTCAGTACAGACAGAATTTCAGTTTTCCATAGTGGCTGCACCAATACACATTCCCACCATCACATTCCCACAAGAGTTTCCTTACCTCCACATACTCGCCAACACTTGTTATTTTTTGTCTTTTCGATACTAGCCATTGTGACAAGTATAAAGTAATATTTCATCATGGTTTTGATTTGCATTTCCCTGATGGTTAGTGATGTTGAGCATCTTTTCATGTGTCCATTGTGGCCACCTGTATGTTTTCTTTGGAAAAAATGTCTATTCAGATCCTCTGCCCATTTTTAAATTGGACTATTTGGGGGTTTTTTGGTGTTGAGTTGTACAACTTGTCTGTATCTTTGGATAGTAATCTCTTACCAAATATATCATTGCAAATATCTTCTCCCACGTATAGACTGCCTTTCTGTTTTGTTGATGGTTTCCTTCTCTGTGCAGAAGCTTTTTATTTTGGTGTCATCCCAACAGTTTATTTTTGCTTTGTTTCCCCTGCCTGAGGGGTCTGGGAGTTTAGATTTTTGAAAACCTATTAATGAGAATCTGTTTTTCAAGCACAATTTAACTTAAAATTAGATGTACAGACTCTAAATTGATAAATGGCTTGATGTTTTAGGTTTTTAAAGTTCCTAAGAAAATAACTTAATAGCATTAGATGATCATAACTCTTTAAAAAACAAATGATCCACTTCGTAATCTAATATGCTGAAAATAAAACAGATTTACTATGATTAAAATGTTGAAGTAATTGCTATGAATCTGTAAAGATAAATATCCTCAAGTTTCTAAGTTAAGTACAATTATTTTTCAACAAATACTAACAAATTCTTAACTTAAAAAATGATAAAATAAAACCTTCTTTTTTTGTGACTAAACACCAAAATGCACTGTTACTAAAAGGCCTTGGATTTCCACAGACTTGAAGATTTTCAATTTCATACCTAAAGATAAGGACTTTTTAATAAACAAATTAAATGCTGAAAAGACTTTTACCCACAAAATGTATTATGCATAGTGGATTCTAATAGTGTGAAAACAACATGCAGCTGTGGTAAATTCATCTAGAGTATTTCTTAATAGGAGGGACAGACGTCCGCAATTAACGTTCTTCTGCAATTTTCATTAGGTCTGGGATGAGCTCGATAATCACAGGCAAATGCTTGACATTCCATAAACACTCTCTGTAAGTGGGGCATACCACAGCTGAAACTTGAAACTGCATAAATCTCTATCTTTATTTTCAAGAGCAAACGGCTTCTTTCTTCTTATTAATGTTTATTCCCTGATTGTGGTAAGAATAAACATTTAATTTTCAAAAAACACACAGGAACCCTTAGAAATGGACCATCATTCTATAATAACCTATTACAGAAAACTTTTACATCGAAGGTTAACAGTAATTTTTTACTCTTCGGTCACCTACCTTATTATGACGCAGGCACCGTTTCAGCAGCTCTTCTGCCATGTCGTATTTTGCTGATTGAATATAAATATCGGCAAGCAGCAGCCAACCCTTCTCAAAGTCCTCAGCATCAATAGGATTCCAGTTCATTTTCGCAATCCGCTTCAGCTGGTTTCTGGCTCGTGGAGTCTGTTTCAAGATCATATAAGCTGTTGCCATTCCCAGAAGTGCTGGAATATGATCCTTCTGTAAGAACGCAAAACTTCAGACCCCCAGATCCACAAACACAGATGTCCTATGTTTAAAAGGAAACATGGCAAGTAGCAAGGGCCTGTGGACTCCATATCTGGCTCCTCATAGATAACTGTGATATGGTCATTCTTTAATGCACCAAGTTACCTCAAGCTACCATGAAGAAACTTGGTCAGGCACCACGTGGTCAAAATAATCCAATAAATACGCAGATGCCATAACCACATGATTCAGACAATTAGGGCGACTTGATCTTTAATGGGACTGACTAGCTATTATGGTTTTATATAGAAACAGAAAAAAACAAAATTCTATTTCAACATAATCCTAACTGGAACATTTGTGTTTCAGATTCAGCATTTTGGCTTCTTAGTTCTTTCACTTGTAAAACAAGAATGAGATTGATTTACCTGCAAATGATATTCCTTACCTACACGAACTTGTACTGACTTATCTATATTGACTTTTTATCAAAACTGACTTCTATTGCTCCTTTTCCCTTCCTACTTGTTTTATTCAAAAGCTTTTTCACTCAATAAAGTTTGACCAATGAAATGTTATAAACAAGGCATGCGATTAATTAATCACTTGGAAATTATGAAATAAATTCATGCCTTAAAATACTTGTAGACTTAGAGTGCAGCTTCTTCATAGTGTCTGTAAAACACAATGTTCTTTTAGAGGGGAGTTCAGTGTCAGGAAATGTCACTCTGTGAAACCAACAAACTAATAAGAATTGGTATAAAATGGAAGCTATTGGTAATCTACCCAGGAAACCAAATTACCTAAGCAATATGTGTATATCCCTGATAAAACAAGGGTGGCTTCTTATATTTCAGCAGAGGGACTGTGATGTTTTTATAAAGGGGAAGGCTTCAGGTTAAAATACAAATAAAGGATGAGCAACTGTGATATAGAAATTATAATATCAAGACTATAATAAAGGTGCACGGTGAGATAGAAAGTTTGGGTAACCAATAAGGAACACTGCAAAAGGAGAATAGAGCAGTTTGTTCATTGTCCAACACCAACCATGGTTGGAAGTCAGAAAAAACCCTGGAATAGAGAAGGACAATTCCTTAGAGCTTGATGAAAATAATTTTTCAGAAGATAAAACTTCTTTGGTTGTAATTCTATGCCTACCCACAAACTTCCAGTATGTGATTTGTCCTTCTAATTAAGGAATGGCAAAAAGGTTTGAGTGCCAAATCCAGCCAACTGGTAGTAGGTTTCGGAGACACGAGGGGTATATCATCCATTTATTGAGGACCCTTTCCCCCTGCCTCCTCCTGTAGAAAGGAAAGAAAGTAGAGGCCTGCTCTGAATTTGTCAGCCAGGTCCTAGAACATTCCAAGCCAAGAAGGGTCCTGTAAACATGTCCAGATCTAGTCACATGCTAAAAATATCCCACACTATACATTTAAAAATAAGCTCTCTGATTTTAAAATCCCACACCCTGAGTAGAATTAATCAATACCTCACAGCTTGATCACTACTGAATGAACTCAAGGATAGTTTCTAAAAGTACAAACCTGAGTTCCAACCCCTGCATTAGACCCGCGTGTCTTTTCTGGTGCAGACATCCTAAGGTGTTCAGCTGGCTTTCCTCTGTCTTTCTCAGTCACTCTGAGCTGCAACAACTTTAGATCACAGAGGACAATACAGCCATGTTATAAACAACACACCCTTCGGGTTCAAGGTGACAGGATGAAAGCAGGTGGAAACATTTTGCTTGGGTTTAAGGTATCTTGCACTGCTTCCTCCCGACTTCCTGTCACGTAACTCTTTTTCAATCAATCTGAACGCCACATAGTGTCGTGAATAGACAGGATGCATCCCTGCCTGCGTGCTTTTGTTTATATTTTCCCCTGCCTCTAGAATGTATCTTCTCCATCTCTGCCTGTGGAAATGCAATTTATTGTGGTTCTTCTTAAATCATACTTCTCCACAAAAGGGCCTCCCCACTCTCCTAATATTGTTTCCTACAGCACTTTTACCTGCAACTCTAGAACAGAATGTAATAGATTTTGGTTTGTACACAGTCAGTATGCTTTGCCTCATCTTCCCTGGATTGTGATAAACTTGACAGAAGAGACTGTCCTTGGTTTATCTTTATGATTCCCCCACTGTCCTTAGCACCCACTGGCTGCTTAACGAATATTCATTATATTTAATACATGCAGCTTATGAGTTAAAAGGAAAAAATGCAAGATAAAACTCATTGTTTCTGAAACTTCATGCATCAGTCTTTGGCTGGTATGGTCAGTTGACAGATTTGAGGATAGCGTATTACTAATCACATATGTAAGAATGGTAAAAAATAATGCAGTCTCATCAACACAAGAAACCGGTATTTCTAGGAAATAGCCACAATGTCACTCACAGCTTTTGGTGTTCTCTCAAACATCACACTTTAAACTCTCTCTCCTACTTCGGGTCTCCATTTGCCAGCCACTGTCATCCATCCGCTGCCCCGTGGCCTGCCCCCTGAGAACATTACTTCACAGGCAGCAGACGGGCCCTGCTCTAGGATGTCGTTGCTGCGGGAGCTACCTGCTGTTTAGTTCCAAGGTGGCTTACAGTGCTGATAAAATGCCATCTAGGATACATGTTCCGAAATGGCAACAGGAGCTGCAGGTTCCCCAAAGCTCTCCCGGGTCCCAGGAGGCAGGAGGAAGGGGCCCCGGTAGGGAGTTTTTAGTAGCTTACTGCCACCACTATGACCAGTGAACCGCAAGGAAACACAGCAAAGTTCTGTATATCCTCTGAGAGACACAAATTTTGAGTTTTCGGTGGCCTACAACACTGCTGAGTGGAAGAACACGAAATCCAGTGAGTACGCTCAGACCTAGCTCACTCCATGAGCAGTGGGCACCTAGAACCCCTTCCTTAATATCAAGCCACTGGAGAAATACAGCACTATGTGAGGGAAGGAAAAACTGAGCACCCAGAGAGTGAGAAGGTGGATCTGAGTGAGTTGGAAAGAGAAGAAAGCCTCTGCTCTAATTATTATTATTGTTGTCACTACTATTATTATTGCAGGGGGTTATTTCAGTGTTGCTAAAAAACACCACCATTATTCGCATGACTGAATTATAAGCTGTCAGTACTGATCCCATTTAGCCTTAGAGCTGGAAACATTTCAAGTTTGCCTAAGTGAAAAAGGTGAGCTATCAATGCAGCCAGGTGTTTATTTTCACTTAGTCACTTAAGCGAAACAACACAGAAATTCTCCAGACAATAAAGCCATTCCTTTGAGAGTTAATTTATGCCCTTTTGAAGAAGAATTTTCCTTTCTCTAGAAGTTACCATTCTAATAGAAAAAATATATCAAAATATCAAAATAGTAACAAAATACTATCTTCTAGAAACGAAGGTACGTTATGTAGAATTATGCCAAGGTATAGAGACAATTTTTACTTGTAATTAAGTCAATCTTCAGAAAATACACAGCTCATCGCAATACATATTTCTATACTGCCAAGGAAAGAGAATATAAAGCTGAAAAACAAAATCTACTGACCTCAGATGTTGCTATCTTGGTGAAGGTATTCAATGCTTGCTCAACGTTAGACTTCTGTTTGGTAGCGACCAGGCAATAGTTTTCCAGGATGCGAAGCTGTACGTGACCCTGAATGGTCTGAGGTTTTAGTTCTTTAAGGAGTTTTTCTGCTGTTCTCACTGCTAACTGCACAGACTCTTGCTTTTCAGTTGAATTACTGTATACAATTAAAAATAAATCTCTTATGTCTATTACTCATGAAGCAAAATTCATTGAGATTAGACTGAGCCCCAGGGTACACTGGTTTCTTTTCTGTCACTAATTTGAAGTAATCCTTTTGCAGAATATCACTCATTCTCTTCTAATACAACGCGAACCACAGATGTAATGCATTACATTTAAACAAAATTAATATAGCTTTAATAAAACACCATTAAACATTTACTCACTTTAGACTGAAGACAAAAATTGGACAGTATCTACATGTGGTGTGTTCATTTCTGCTAACATAAAACTAGAATTCAGGATAAGTAGAATCATATAATTATCAAGTAGTAGATCTACTCAGAAAATGAAAGAAAGGAGGGAGTAAAAACTGACCTTGCTAAAGCACCTACGATGTGCCAAGCACTGCAATATTTTTAGCTGCCTATCCGACTCTCAGAAGAGAAGCTATGTATCTGGGGTGCCTGGGTGGCTCAGACAGTTAAGCATCTGCCTTCAGCTCAAGTCTAGATAGCATCCACTCCTTGCTCAGCAGGGAGCCTGCTTCTCGCTCTGCCCCTCCCCCTGACCCTGCTCCTGTGTTCTCTCTCTCAAATAAATAAAATCTTAAAAAAAAAGAAACTATGTATCTGTCAAAAGGTTGTAAATTTCAAGTGCAATAACAATTCGAATATGTAGTATCAATTTTCTTATTTTTTTTTTAAATATATAAATCAATTAATAAAAGGAGACTAAATTCTCAAAGCCCAATCACTAAAGCTGCTGGTCTTTTTCTTAGGCTTTAGGCTTTATCTTCTCTAAAACATTTCACACTGTTAGGTACCTTCTTCAAAGTTCCCCTCCTTTGCCTTTTGTAACATTACACGGTTCTGGGTCTCTTTCTACCACACTGATTGCCCTTTTCTGACCTCCCTTCCCCCTCCAATCCCCTTAAATGTCAGCATGCCCAAAATTTAGTTCTCAAACGTCTGTCACTGCATTCTATTTGCAAAGAGGCCATTCACTGGGTTCCAACTATCTACTCTGAGGATCTGTCCCTCAAACCTGTATTTCCAGTTGTGACCTCCCTCTTGTTTTGTTGTTTTGTATTTTCAACTATTTGCTAGAGATTTCCAGGAGGACAGCCTATAGTTGCACAACAGTACGTTACCTTAACCTTTCTAACACAAACAAACATGCCTCTCCCTTGCTCTAAAACTTTCAATGGTCTCTATAATCTAAGCCTTCAAACTGTCATTAAAACCTCTCAGCAGTCTGGTTCTAATTTTCTCTCACTCCTCTGTTCATCTTCCCCCGACTGCTTGGCGGCACTGCTAGGATTTCTATGATTTCCTGTAACACTTAATATCCATCTTGCCCATTTCTGTTTTGTCAGAGACTGGTTTCAGATATTGTCTTGCCTCCTAGGTAAATTACTATGCTCCTGAAGGCAGAAACTACCTTATATACCCTATACATTTACATCTTTACATACCCCCTATCATGCTTTGCCCAATTCTGGGAACAGCAACAAACATAGGTTGATAGCAATAACACCATTTATCTGCAGTGCACTACAGGGGCTTCGCGGTAACAGAGAAATTAATCCACATCTTGCCCCCACCCTTGACTACTACATTAGGTTAACTCTGAGCTTAGTTCACAACGCTGTTGCAGGGAGCAAATAAGACAATGCATATGAAGTATGAAGTGCAGGGTATGGCAAAGAACTACCATTTGCTAAGGGGTTACTATTATTGTGTGGATAACTTTTGCTAACATAATCACATTCTACAATTTACCCTGTTCTCAACAGAGTAACTAGGGGAGCGTCTTTGTAACATGCTTCTGATTTTGGAAACCTCCTAAAAGCATTTCATGCTTGTTTCAGAGAACAGCTATTCTAGCTATGATTTTTTCTTTTTTTTAAATTTTAACTATGATTTTTTTCATCTGACCTTTCATTAGTGCTGTCCTAGAATTGAGCCCTCTTTTAGAAGGTATCCTTGCCGATTATCCCTGGTGTTTCCAGAAAAGGGATAATTTGTCAAACGATAACTCACCCCAGGTCTCCATCCAGATTTTCAAATACTTCACCTCCAACAGTTTCATTATCTGGATTCAGACATATTTCTATCATATTATAAAGGGCATTTTGGCCCCAGTCACTGTCCTTCCGAGCTTTATTAAAATGTCGAAGGGCATCATTTGGTTCTCCAGTATACCTTGTTAGATGTTTAAAAAAAAAAAAATCACTTATTTCAATTGTTGACTACAAACTTTAAGTCATTTATAATCTCTTTGGTAAATAAAATTATTAACATTTTTTAAAATGTAGATCTATCTTAAGACAAGGAAATTTATTCTACTTTATTCACAATGAGAAAATATCTATGACACAGGATTTATTCACCAACAGATTTACCAAAGATATAGTCCTTTACAGTATTGAAATCCTGGCTCCAATTTTGCTCTGGAGTTACGTTTTTCAGCCATTAAGAAAAATCTTGGAACATCCTCAAGTTTTCCACATCGTCTCAGGAAATCAATTAAACGAGATAGTGTCATATAATTATCTAGAAACAAAGAATATTTTGGATATAGACAACATTTTTTTTCTTTTTTTTTTTTTTAAAGATTTTATTTATTTATTCATGAGAGACAGAGAGAAACAGAGGAAGAAGCAGGCTCCCAAGGAGCGGTAAGCCCGATGCGGGACTCGATCCTAGGACCCTGGGATCATGACCTGAGCCGGAGGCAGACGGTTAACCATCTGAGCCACCCAGGCGCCCTAGACAACATTTTTTACCTCTTGTTTTGACAGTTATAATCCTACTTCATTCAAGTATAGTTTACTTCAAATGAAGTAGAATTTAAATACAATCAAAAGGAATGCCTTAGGGGTTATAAATCCCTAAAGAGACTATATGGGCAACTGGATAAGGGTTTGGTTGGTCTGGACAGTGAAAGAAGCTAATCTATAAAATACAATCCAATCTATAAAAATGTACATTTGTTGTAACTTAATTTTCAACTGTTCCTGGGAACAAAACCTAGAAACAGTCTCTGCATTGGTCATCTAAACCCTTAACTGTAAAATTCAGGAGGGTTGATGAGATTGCACAGGCTGAGTCTATCTCTGACGTCCTTATTCACTGCAGCTAGGAAGGGGGTGAGAACACTACCTTTTTTTTTTTTTTTTTTAAGATTTTATTTATTTATTTGACAGAGAAAGACACAGTGAGAGAGGGAACACAAGCAGGGGGAGTGGGAGAGGGAGAAGCAGACTCCCTGCCGAGCAGGGAGCCCGATGCGGGACTCGATCCAGGGACTCCAGGATCATGACCTGAGCCGAAGGCAGTCGCTTAACCAACTGAGCCACCCAGGCGCCCGAGAACACTACCTTTTGATTATAATGTTTGGGGTAGGCAATTAGAAATTTTACTCCAGACTTTCCTTAATATGCGTATGTGACTAATGTACTAGATGCTAGCTTACCATAATATAACTGTAATAAATTAGTCCCAGTATTTTTTTTCTTTTAAAGATTTTATTTATTTGACACAGAGAGAGACACAGCGTGAGAGAGGGAATACAAGCAGGGGAAATGGGAGAGGGAGAAGCAGGCCTCCCGCTGAGCAGGGAGCCCGATGCGGGGCTCCATCCCAGGACCCTGGGATCATGATCTGAGCTGAAGGCAGACGCTTAATGACTGAGCCACCCAGGTGCCCCTAGTCCCAGCATTTTAATCCTATTTTATCTTCTCCTAAGAAAAAAGAATTAATTTAGTTCTTTGGTGTCAGGTATAATTTCCTGGCAGTTTCCTAGAAAGCCGCCTTCTCCCAACTCTATCTAGTTCTTTTGCATCACTAAAATACTAAGCTTTGAGAAAAAATTAGTATTTTTAAGATTGTAAAAATAATGCAGACACTTTAGAAAATTTGGAAAAACAAAGAAAAAGAGAAGTATAAAGAAGAAAAAAAAATCACTCATATTCCCACCAGCTAAAGATTACCACATTTTGGTACGTTTCCTTTCACATAGTTATGAGTGAAAATCATCCTATTGATCTTTAAAACATATTTCTTTGCTTATATATATACAAAGTTGAAGTCACACTTTGGGTTTTAATTTTGGCTCAACACTGGTACAGTAAACGTTTCCCAAATGTCAATAAATGGCCTTCAAAAACATGAGTTAAATGGCTGCATAACAGTCTATTATATTGATGGCTCACATTTTATTTCTCTGTAGTTGTCCTTTGTAGATAATTTGGGCTCTCAAGTTTCAGTTAGCACAGGATTCATAGTAGGGGATTTGCAAAAATTCCCATTACATAAGCTATGCTGATCTTGTTTGTAGGGTGAGAATTAAAACACACAAAAACTTTTTAAGCAATTTATCTTTGATTTTATGTTCTAAGAGAAAATATCATATGATCCAGCAAGTCCACTTCTGGGTATATATTCAAGAGAACTGAAAGCAGGGAATCAAGCAAATATTTGTGCACCAGTATCTACAGCAGCATTACTCCCAGTAGCCAAAAGTAGAAACAACCCCGAGTTCATCATCAGATGAATGAATAAATAAAAATATGGTGTATATATACACAGCGGGATATTATTTGGCCTTAAAAAGGAAGGGAATTCTGACACATGCTACAACACGAATGAACCTTGAAAACATTCTACTAAGTGAAATAAGCCAGGCACAAAAGGACAAATACCATATGGTTCCACTTTATATAAAGTATCTATAGGAGTCAAATTCATAGACAGGTAGAATGGTGGTTGCCAGGGGATGGGGAGAGAGAAGAGGGGGAGTTAGTGTTTAACAGGTACAGAATGTTAGCTTGGAATGATGAAAAAGTTCTGAAGATGAATAATGGTGATGGTTACAAAAATAATTTGAACGTACTTAATGTCCTTTAACTGTACACTTAAAAATGGCTAAAATGGACGGAGATTAGTTTGAGGTGCCTGGGTGGCTCAGTTGGTTAAGCGACTGCCTTCGGCTCAGGTCATGATCCTGGAGTCCCGGGATCGAGTCCCGCATCGGGCTCCCTGCTCGGCAGGGAGTCTGCTTCTCCCTCTGACCCTCCTCCCTCTCATTCTCTCTCTCTCAAATAAATAAATAAAATCTTTAAAAAAAAAATGGCTAAAATGGGAAATTTTATGTTATGTATTTTATGTTATCGCAATAAAAAATATTTAAAAAAAGAACTTCTGTAGGCTTTGTATCTACTCTATTGTATGATGTCAAGATAATCCAGGTTATGATGACAACATCATCATTCATCTTCCTTGACCTATAAACTTGGGTATCAAGATTTTGTTCTTCCTGCCTCCTGGCATCACTAAAAAGCAGAGGATGATAAGACTATAGCTTCAGAAAGAGAGGATTCAAATATCGGTCTTGTATTTTAGCTATGCAAATTCAAGCAAATTATTCAAATTCTCTGAGTCAAGAAATACTTATTTTCTTAAAAGAGAATTATAATCTTGACCCTCAAAATGTCATTGAAACCAAATAAAATAAGGTCATGAAAGAGCTTTAAAAATACAATGGTCATTAGGAATATTTACAACTCCAAAAGTTTTGATAGGACCTAGGGATAACTACCTAGAATAAAGTCACAGAATCTAGAAGCTGTATTGGATTAGGCAGGACATAAAGGTTAAAATTTCAGGCTAAAGTTTTTTTGTATGATATTGCTAATATGTGTGATGCATGATATTGCTAATATTATCTAAAGTCAACCTTGGGAGGCCAGGTAATAATTATCACCTTCTAATATTACTGAAATGTATTATTAGTTTAAATTATAATTACCACTGGTAGATCAAATTACATTAACTTGTCTCTTAGTTAACCATGAAATTTGACAGCAGGCAAATTTCTGTACTTAAGGAATCCATTGAAGACTGAAATGTATTACATTCTAAAAATACATAGCCCATACTTATTGATGGATAGTGAGAAAATATCAAAATACAGTGTGATGTGATGCAGCAGGAATAAAGTGCAAGGGAATTACAACGCATGGAATTCTTCACCTTTGCCTGGAGGAGGCAGGAGGTTTCGCACAGAATCAGACTTGTGGGCAGCCTGAAGGCTAAGAGGAGGATCTTGCCAGACAGACAAAGACATTCCAAGAGGCAGATGGTGTGTGCAGGGACAGAGCAGCAGAGCCCAGGGAGTGCTGCTAAGTCCAAGGTTACTAGATATTAAAGTGGAGGAAGAGGGCTGAGAAATACAAATGGACCAATAATTTAGGGCCATCTTATTTTCAAAATAATGCTATGATTTTAGACTCTACCCTGGAGAGCCATCCTAATTTTTTAAGCAAAGGACTAGCTTCTGATTTATAAAAGTGATATGACAGTCCTATGAAGGTGTGGGGCAGCAAGAAATGAGAGGCTGGAAGGTGACTGCACCGGGCTGGGTCAGAGGGGATAGTGGCCCTAATTTGAGCCAGGGGCTAGGACAGGGTGGCCTGCGTGTGACAGCAGGCTCTTCAGCACAGAGAACTGATGGGACTTGTTCAGCAGTTAGTGTCGGGGAGGGAAAACCCAGGATGATGTGGAGATTTTGAGAGAGAAGAAGTGTCACCTGTCAAGAGAAGAGTAATTCTATCTATAAGAAGGATTCTCTACTAGCTAGGTTAAGTCAAATTAGACAGTACATTTCTGAAGTAAGCTAAAATACAGCATTAATTTAAGGTATAACATGTGCTGCTAAGGATGACCTATAATTCATGCAGAAAGTATAGATACATAATTCTGATAAAACAGATCTGTGAATGGAGTCCTATTAGGAATAAAGCATAGAGTACATAAAATATGACATAGACGACAATCTTAACATTTTGTATTTTTAAATGACTAGGTATTTGAGTCATTCATTGATCCATGCTACCAATTAACATTTCTTCTGTACCATCTTACATGTCAGGCAATGTGTCTGACGCCAGGGATGTAAGATGGGTATGACATGATCCCTGCAAACATGAGGAGTTTGCAGTCTCATGGAGAAGACAAATGTATGCATACATATTTTCAGAAAAACGCTAGAAGAGATAAAGAGGTATGGATGAAGTTTCCAGGATTGGGGTGATCAACTCCTCCCAGGTGGTTGAGACTTTCTTTCTTTTAGGATCAGAAGTCCTGCATTGTCCAGGAGATCCCCCCATCTCAGGCAAATTGAGGCATCACATAAGGCATCTTAAAACGTCGTAGGTGATGGTAGTAAGACCTAGGCTTTTGTTTTTGGCAAGGGGTGAGTAGATTTTAGATTATGTGTTGGGAAAGACAGAGAAGAAGAAGGAAGGCAAAGTACACTATAGGCAAAAGGAAAAAGAAACACGCAAAGATTGGGAGGTGTGGATGTATGTCATTTGATACTTGATATTTCTGGAGTACAAGATCCTTACACTGATAAACTTACAAATAATTTACTTCGTATTTGTTTATAAATAGTCCAAAGTTTCCAGTCGACTAAGCCAATTTGACTATTATTTATTTTAAAAGAATGCTGATGCTAAGTTACCTGGCTGAGATGAAATTCACACAACAGATGAGGGCTTCTTCAAATCTTCCATGTGAACACACACTAGTGTCATCAATGGCTTAAAAGATTTGCAAGGGCGGAGGTGTGTTTTTAAAGAAGCCAGGTTGGATTATTCTCTCAGAGGGAAGTGCTACAATATGCCAACAGCTTAAGACAGAATGTAAATAGTATGTATATCCCCTTAAGAGGCAATTCAGAGAAGAAAAGGACACAACTGAGTCTGGAACCCAGGAGAGGAACTCATGAGAAAAATAACTTAGACTTAAAGAAAGCAAGAATCCACTTTGGGCAACTGGGCGGGTAGGACAGGCCTGTATTTTGGAGTCCTAGAGAGTAGAAGAGGTAAGGTGCTGATGTAACCAACACGGAGCAGAAGCTGGGACCAACAAGGCCAAGAAACAACCGCATGGCCTGAGGCAATCCAGAGGTGGGTGAACATTTAAAAAGACAATAAAAATAATACAAAGAAAAATGTTGATATTACTACAAAGACAGATAGGACCTTTTTCCTTTCAATCTTGACCCTAGCTAGGGGTACTTTATTCGTAAGCAGAAAGTGTTGTTCTCAAATACAAACTTTTTTAAAGGTATAAACATTAGTAAGTACGACACGGAGAGGACAGCTGGTGCTTTGAGTTGCCCTACTTGAAGGAGATAATGTGTGTCCCATGTGTCCACGCCGCCCGAACCAGGCAGCTCTGACTGCCCGATCATCCCGCCACGGAGGCGTCAGGGTTTACAAGAACTGAATGACAGCTCTAGGACTCCCCTGGGACTTCAAATTCTCCTTGGTAAAAACATAAGTAACGCACATTACTGTTTCTACCTTCCTTTCCTGTTTTCCCCTTCCTTCCCCTCGCTCCTTTCCTTTGCTCCTTCCACTCTTCTTTCTATTCAATATTCACTGAGCACCGAGCCAGCCAGATACGGTTCTAAATCCTGGAAACACAGCAACGAAGACAAACTTCGTGGCCACTTGATGCTTATGTTCAATGATTTATAATTTTTGTTTTGTTTTGTTTTACAAGGGTGATATAAAACAACAAAACGCAAGATAGAAAGATGGAGAGCAGTAAGAGGTGCTGTTGATACAGGATGGCCGCGGAAGGGCGCTCTCAGGAAGTGGCCTTCTGGCGCCACACCCTGAAAGAACGAAGGAGCCGCCACCGGGCTGTTTGGGAGAAGCATATTCAGGAAGGGGGAAGGGCAACTCTAAAGTCTCTGGGCACTAACCTGCTCGGACTGTTGCCTACCTAACATCTACTATCCCTTTCTTCCTCACTACCAGAATTCTGACTTTATACAACGTGGCACTGGGTTCAGGTAAAGGATGACATTTCCCACCATCTTTGGCAGCCATGGAGGTGCTTTTAGAAAGGAGTTTTTTAAAGAAAAAAAAAAAAAAGGTGGTTCCCTGGGGAGCTATGCCTTTTGGCCCACCTCTATCCCAGCCTTCCTTCCCCATCCAGGCCCTGGAACATTGAGGCTAGAGCTGCAGTCATCATGGACCGTGAGGTGATCCTCGGAACGGAAGTTAGGCTGGTGACGACTGAAGAAAAAGGCAGAGGACTCAGGCGTCCTGATGATACTGTGGAACCTCCGTGCTACTCCCTACATAACCTACTTTTAAATTTCTTTCACGTAAGAGAAAGACCAAAAGCCATAATTATTTGGGCCACTGGAATTTCGAGGGGGGGAGGCTCTGCTACTTTCAGCTGAAAGCATTTCTAAACTGTCCAGAGGCAAGGAACAGAAACTGGGGTGCATTACGAGAACGGAGCAGTAATAATCGACAGGAGAGCTGATGATGGGCAGCTGAGCCCCGGTGGCAGCAGCAGCGCAGGAGGTAAAAGGTGATGGGATCCCAGACAGACCCTGAAGGCAGAGCAAAGAGGGATCTGCTGACAGGCGGCATGCGGTACAAAGATGAGCCAAAGGCCACTGGAAGAATTAGGGCCTGACAAAGTGGGTAAATGGTGCTGCTATTTACTGAGGTGAGAAATGGAGAAGGAGCGGATTTGAAGGGACAGAAAGATCAGCCGTTCTCCGTGGGCATGTTAAGCTGGAGATCCTCCGGGACACCTAAGTGGGAACGTAAACAGACGGTGGTGTGTGTGAGGCAGGACGGGAGATGCACATCTGCAAGACACCGGCACGCACACAGGACGTTAAAGCCACGGGCCTGCATGAAGTCACCCAGCGGGCTGAATGTATAAAAAAAGAGAAAAAGTTCAAGAGCCGAGGTCTAGAACGTTCTGAGATTTACAGGTCATAAAGAGAAAACAGATCGAGCAAAGGGGTGGGGCAGCGGAAAGCAGAAAACCCAGGGAAGCCTAGCACCCCGGCAGACAAGTGGAGAAAGTCCTTCCGGAGGGCGGGGAGAAGCTGTGCTAATAAGCACGACGGCAGGCCGAGCAGGCGGACTGCTGAGACCTGAACGTGGGCCTGGCAGCACGGAAGCGGCTGGCTGCCCTGCAGGAGCAGCTTCCCTGGACTGCAGGAGCGGAGCAGACTGAGGGGCCGCAGCTTCGAGGCAATTTGCTGGAAAGGGAGATGGAAGAATGGAGCCATCATTGGGAGGAGGGTTAAGAATTGGTTTTTATTTATTAACGTATTTAGCATGTTTGTGTGCGGACAGGGGAAACAATGGTGGTGCAGGAGAGAGAGGTGTCAGGAGAGAAGCGCTCTAGGAGGTGAGGGGTGGCGTCCCGAGCCCATGGGGAGATGATGGCACACCTGGGGAGGGCGATGGCTGGGAGCAGGCAGACTTCGTGACAGGTGGATGCAGACATTCTCTTTCAGTTGCTCATATTTTCCTACTCAAGTAGGAGGCAACATTTTTAGCTGAGGACAAGGAAGGGGCAGAGTGGACTGGAGGTTTGAGGAGGGAGGAGAAAGTGTAAAAAGTACTTAGAGGGAGCGAAATCATTAGAGAAATACAGCAGGACAGCCAGGCAGCATCTGAGGGCCCACTGGGGTCTGTGGTCATCATTTAAGGCGAGGCCAGTCCATGCTGTTGCATTTTCCTTACAGCTATTTCTGCTGCTCAAGGGCAAGTGTGGACTAAGTAGACAGCTGGATTCAACCGAGGTTTCCATAATAGCCAAAAAGAGGCTATTATGCATTAGAAAAAAACATAATCAGTGGATATTTACCTGGTTTGCGTTCTAAAAGCTGCTGTAAATGAAACACTGCTTGTTCATAGTCCTGTTTTCTGAACATGAGATCTGCCATCATCTGTAAAGGTAAAAGTTGGTTCTAAAAATATTGCCATTATGTTTTAGAAAACACATCTTTCCTATCAAATAGATTTAGGGCTATGCAAACACATACAAAAAACACGAGGGGGGCAAAGATTATAAAAAGGAGCCATTTAAAGTTCAAGTATACCTTAAGCAAATTAGCACTGATATCAGCCTAACAGAAGAAAATTAAGGATGTGAAACAGATCGCTCTGTTCACAAAACTTTATTTTTAGCAGAAAATATGTTCCAAGTAGTTATTTTAAAAACAGAAATTTGAAGGGAATTGCACACTCTATGTGTTATCATTGAAAGGATGCCTCCCTGGACTTGGCTAAAATGACGGGAAGATTTAAAAAAAACCAAAACACTCTTAAACCCTCAATATTTCAAAAGAATTTAAAATGAGCAAAATCTACTGAGCCTTTCTTATTGTGTGTTTTAAAAGGGATACTTTTTATATTTCTTTTTAGTTATAACTTTCAGTGAACCTCACACACTGTCATCTATGTAGCTGTTTGAAAGCTAATGAATACCTCAACCCAGGCAAAACTGAGAAAGCAAAAGCAAATCTCTGAAACACACCATCTTAGAATGATATATGAAGTTTTCCTCTGAAACTCCAAAGTCCCACAGAAACTTGTAACGGAGTTCAGCATGTCTGGGTAAGTACTTAAGACCTAGTCTTTAGCAAGTTATAGCTTTATCACATGAACTCCTCCTGACCAAGTATCCTCTTCGGCATAAAGAAAAATTAACTAGGCCCGCCAGGGCAAGTAAAGATCTGATCAGGTTTACCATTCTTTTTTTTTTTTTTAAAGATTTTTATTTATTTATTTGAGACAGAGAGAATGAGAGACAGAGAGCATGAGAGGGAGCAGCAGACTCCCTGCCGAGCAGGGAGCGCGATGCGGGACTCGATCCTGGGACTCCAGGATCATGACCTGAGCCGAAGGCAGTCGCTTAACCAACTGAGCCACCCAGGCGCCCCAGGTTTACCATTCTTATAAAACAAAAAGACTCTTGGTCTTTACTGGTAAAATGAACTAATAATGTTAAAAATATTATTTCCTCCAAAAGCCAACATGAGCTAGGTCTCTCTAGTATTAGTTTTATCTGGTAAAACTGAAAACTTCCCCATGGAATATAAAACACAACGGCCCTTATGGCACTGAAGTCTCGTGGACTGACCATGGTGGCAGCCTCCCTGTCCTGGTCGCTCTGCAGAAGGAGGGTACAGTGCCGCAGGCAGGCATCGGGGTCATCCTGCGCCAGGTATAATCGTGCCAGCTCCAACAGTATCTACAGAAAAAGCGCAGCATCAGTCAGAGACTGTCTGGAATAAAACATGAGTAAGGAAAATGTCTGGACACGGATTACGTCTTAGTTGATCAGAACGGATTGCAATAAAAATGCCAAGCCTGAGAGGCGGGAAAGCTATGGCTATGTTCGGCTCTACTTTCTCTTACACTGGAAAAAAAGGGGAAAAACAGGTAGCAACTCACTCGAAAGGCAGAGAGACACAAAGCACTGTGAAAAGAACACCGGTCTTAAATCAGGGATTCGATTCTGGTCCAGGCTTCTCCACGATGGGCCTAAGTCCCTGCTACCTCTCTAAACCTGTTTTCCCATTTGAAAAATAAAAAGCTTGGAGCAGATGATTTCTAAGGTATGCTTCAGATTTCAAACCATGATTCCAACTTCCTCAGCCACCACTAAACAAGGTACCTGTTTGGTTATGCCTTAAAGGTTACTTCTGCCTTACATCTGAGTTGTATTCATTTTAAAATATTCAATTTAAAACCTTAAATTCTAACATATGGCTGTCTTTTGTTCCACACCATGAAATAAGTCAGTCAGAGAAAGACAAATACCATATGACTTCACTCATATGTGGAATTTAAGAAACAAAACAAACAAGCAAAGGGAAAAAAAGAAGAGAAAGAGGAAAACCAAGAAAGACTCAACCACAGAGAACACACTGCTGGTTACCAGAGGGGAGGTGTGTGTGTGGGGGGGATGGGTGATGGGGATTAAGGAGGGCACTTGTTATGATGAGCACAGGGTGACGTATGGAAGTGTTGAATCACTGTATTGTACACTGGAAACTAATATTACACTGTATGTTAGCTAGAATTTAAATTTAAAAAAAAGGAAAAAAGAAGTATTTAGCCATATATAAGTTTTTTAAAAAAATTAATCTATCAAGATCTGAAAGAGTAACAGGATTTTAATTTACATAACCAGAGACATAAAGAAGTTTTCTATACCAGTATTATCCTTACATTATTCTCATGCTGAACCACTTGAGGTAAGAGATTCAATGTAGTCACCTCTTTTTGCATATCTAGCACCAAACAGCAATTGAAATACAGAGGTATACAACAACAGTTTAGTAAAGTGAACTGAATCATCTAGATCCAGATATTCGAGATTGAGAAATTGTTTTAAAGTGATTATTAAAACACAGATTAATATCAACAAAACCAAAGAGCTTGCAGATTTACTTTATATCACTTGTTCTATAATAACTTTAAAACTCTAACATTATTAAGGCATCATATAAGTATTTCAAAGAACTTCTAGAAACGATATTTATTTTTTAGCTTGTGTTTTTATTACATTTCTTTTTTTACAAATAAACTGGTAAGAATTTTACATTTGGGGCAACAATGTGACAGACGACATCTGGAATAAAAGGTGGTGAAAACTGTATAAAGGTACTGACCTTATTATCTGTTTCACAATGAACAAGAGCCTCTCTATAAAACTTAATTGCTTTTTCATAGTCTCGCTGAGCAACAGAATGTTTTGCAATCCCTGCACAAATTTCAGCCGCTAAGTGTTTCTGTGCAGGAGCTGCGTCTGGCTGTTCCATCTGAACACGTTTTAGTACCCGAGCTTGTAATTCTCGAGCCTAGAAAAAAAATAAGGATAAAAAAGAATTTAAAAAAGAAAGAGAAAATAAATGATTCTCAATAACTCACACATAGCATAATTGTACAGAAGATCTATTTAAGCATTACTGGCCCTCAATCTAACAAAGCCTGATCCAAAGAAAATGTCTTAATTAAGGTCTTAAACATGAGCTTGTTTGCAAATGAGCCAGCGTGCACGTATCTTTCCAACCAAAGTATAAGAACATTACTGGGTCTTTTCCCACTGTTAGAAGGATTATGTACAGAAAGCTCATGAAGGAGGAAATGCAGCCATGAAACAAGTATTTGAAAAAGAATCTAGATGCTGTAATTAAATAAGTGGAAATGTAAAATGTTTATTAAATTAATAAACTAGTATCTAAAAATTATTAAATCAAATATTGGCAGGTTTCAGAGAGTAAGTACATCCACATATTATTAATGGCATACGAATGAGTCCAATCTTTCTAGAGAGCACCCTAAACAAAAGATGCCAACTTGATAAAACTAACCAGACTACTGAACTTAGTTGTTCCACTCTTAGGAAGGTATTATGGAGGGGCACCTGGGTGGCTCAGTCATTAAGCATCTGCCTTCGGCTCAGGTCATGATCCCAGGGTCCTGGGATCAAGCCCCGCATCGGGCTCCCTGCTCGGCGGGAAGCCTGCTTCTCCCTCTCCCACTCCCCCTGTTTGTGTTCCCTCTCTCGCTATGTCTCTCTCTGTCAAATAAATAAATAAAATCTTAAAAAAAAAAAAATCTTTAAAAAAAAAAGGAAGGTATTATGGATATTACATAGAAGAAAAAAGGAAACGTTATCTGTTATAAGGAAAAAACTATCTCTGTTATTTGTTGTAAAAAGAAAAAAAGAAACAACAACAAAAAACCAGAAATCTGAAAGCAACTCAAATGTCTAATGATGGGGAAATGACTAATCAATTGATGGTGTCTATATGAGGTCCAATGCTATATAGAAACCCAGAAAGAAGGCAGGGGCCTCCTTCAAAGTAAGAATGTGGAGTAGGCTGCTAAACGGGGAAAAGTATCAGCCTTATCACCTATATGTTTGATTTCTGAAACACTGAGACCTTCCTTTTGTAAGTGACAGAGAAATCCTATGTTTTAGGCCTTCACAATAAAATTTAACTTTGAGCTATAGATAAGCATCCACTAATGCATTCATGCATTCATTTAACAAAGAGTAAAATGCCCACCATCTGCCACACATTCTGCTACACACAGGGAGCCCTTCTGGGGACTCCTGTCAAAATGTTGGTTGACAACTGGTATTTGACGAAGATGGTCTAAAGCTGGGTATTGTTCAGAACCACGGGTCATAAAATTAATTTAAGGCATCATAATAAGCATTCTTTTGGAAATGAAAGAGGAAAGATTAGAAAATAATGGTGTATATAGCATGTGGTGAAGGTTGATACTGTTTCATGGAATTTTTACTTTGGTTATATTAATGTGTGCTTATTTTAAGTACAGAGATATGTGCACATTTGTGTATTTCATGTTTTTTTATATATGTAAATATTGGTGTGTATGGTTTTGCACACAGGTGCACAAATGCACACACTCAATGACAAAAAACTCTGAAACAACCGGTCTAAATAGAGTGATCGTATCCTTCCATTTCGCAGTACCTTTTATACCTGTTGTTCCAGCTTAATTCTGCCTTCTTCCCTTTCAAAAGTATTTTGACTTGAATGATAAATTCTATGGTCACCCTAGGTCTAAAAGATATACAATTCATTCTCTAGATAGTCTAATTTTTATCTCTGCATCAACTAAATCTCTACAAAGTCAGATAAGACCTCATTAGCTTAACTTCCTAGAGAAACACATTTATAAGTTAGATTTTGTGATGTTTTGCATTTTTTCTTTTTTTTTGTTAAAAGATTTTATTTGAGAGGGAGAAAGAAAGAGAGAGAGAGCATGAGTTGGGGGAGGAGCAGAGGGAGAAGCAGGCTTCCCACTGAGCAGGGAGTCCGACGTGGAGCTCAATCCCAGGACCCTGAGACCATGACCTGAGCTGAAGGCAGATGCTTAACCGACTAAGCCACCCAGGTGCAAAGAAATGCTTTGCATTTCTTAAAGGTAAATAATCAGGGCAGATATTTTGGGCAAAATCCTTTTGCATTTCTTATTAAAGGCATTTCATAAAAGAACGCTCAATTATTGTTAAGTATATACAATGATCATTATGAAACATTTTCACACAGAATAAAATTTTCTTCAAGAATTGATACCATTCCCTATGTTTTTCCTTGGATTCCAGAAAGATCAGAACTAAATTTAATTATCTATTACAATAACTATGTTAACCTTGATTGTCAATGCATTTACATTTCTCAGGGGTGCCTGGTAGCTCAGGTGGTTAAGCGTCTGCCTTCGGCTCTGGTCATGATCCCAGGGTCCTGGGATCAAGCCCCGCATCAGGCTCTCTGCTCAGCAGGAAGCCTGCTTCTCCCTCTGCCTACCCACCACTCTGCCTATCTGTGCTCTCTCTGTGTAAAATAAATAAATAAAATATTTTTAAAAAATCAAATATCACATTACTTTTTATATGATGAATTGTAAGTGACAGAGAAATCCTATGTTTTAGGCCTTCACAATAAAATTTAACTTTGAGGTATAAATAAGCATCCACTAATGCATTCATGCATTTATTTAACAAAGAGTAAATGGACCTATATAGACATAATGGAAAAATCCACACAAATGAATGTTAAGTGAAAGAAGCAAAAATAATCTGTATTATTTAAAACTATATAAAGTTAGAAAGTCATAAAATTCTTAGTGTTTTATGGCATATGGGTTGTTTATATATGATTTATTTAATTTTATTTTCACAGAAAAGATGGTTAATTTAATATGTCAAAAGTGATTTTTTCCCTGTAATTTTTCCTGCAACTAAAAAATTAAAATAATGTATGGTTTCCTTTCAGTCATTCAACTAAAATTTCAAGCACCTATCATGGTTGACAGATTCTGAGAGGACTCACATGATCCTCACCTCCTGGTCTTCACTACCTTGTATAATCACCCCCTTTGTGTGAGGTGCGACCTGTAACTTGCTTGTAACCAACGGAATATGGCAAATATGATGGAATGTCACTCCCTTGATTACATCATGTAAGACTGTCTTGTTAGCAGACTCATTCTACAGCCTTTCTCCCTTGCTGGCTTTGAAGAACTAAGTAGTCATATTAGCCGGCCTATCAGGCAGGGTGCTGATGAACCTCTAGGGTGTGAGAACCTCTAGGATCTGCAACAAGAAGCAAAGAAGAAGCTGGAGCCCTAAGTCTTATAGCCTTGAGGAAATGAATTCTGCTAATAACCTATGTAAGCTTGGAAGTAGATCCTCCACCAGACAAGTCTCTAGATAAGAACCCAACCCTGGCCATACCTTGACTATCTTTTTTTTTTTTTTTAAGATTTTATTTATTTATTTATTTATTTATTTATTTATTTATTTATTTATTTATTTATTTATTTAATTGACAGAGAGAGGGAGAGAGACAGCTAGAGAGGGAACACAAGCAGCGGGAGTGGGAGAGGGAGAAGCAGGCTTCCCGCCGAGCAGGGAGCCCGATGTGGTGCTTGATCCCAGGACCCTGGGATTATGACCTGAGCTGAAGGCAGCCACTCAACCAACTGGGCCTCCCTGGTGCCCCCACACCTTGACTATCCTGACACCTTGTAGAGGACCCAGCTAACACATGCCCAGAATATGGACCCACAGAAACTGTGAAAAAACAAATGTGTGTATTGTTTTCATCGACTAAAATTTGTGGTAATTTGCTACACAGCACAGAAAACTAATGAGGCAAGCATTTGCTAGGGTCACAAAACATGGGACTATACCTACTCTCATGGAAATTTTAATATAAGCAGAAAGATAGATAATAAAATAATTACAGCAAATTATGAGGAGTTTTATGACTGGGAAATACCACTTCCCATGGGAGTACATAATATGAGACCTAACCTAGTCTTGGAGGTGAAGTGAGATATAAAGAATTACTGGTAGTTACATCCATGTTGAGTTTGGGAAAAGAAAGGAGATGGAACCAGAGTACAGACATTTGGAATTACAGGTGAAGGAAAGAAGGTAAGGGATACTATTGTTTGACTAAAGAATTAGAAGGAAAAATGGCTAGAAATACAGAGAAAATTTACATCAGGTAAGTTCGTTAAATAATTTGCTTTTTATTCTAGAGGGCAGTTTTTTCTACAGAGCAGTTACTACTACATGTTTATAAGCAATGGAATAACAAGATTAGGTCTGCCTTTCAGACCAATTACACTGGTGTTGTGGAGAACTACCTGGAATGACACAAGATTGGAAGAGGATAGGGATCAGTCAGGAGGTTACTGGAGGAGTCTGGGCAAAAGATAATGCTGGACAGGGCTAAAAGGTGAAAGAGATGACAGAGATGGAAAAGTGTGGAGTTATTTCAGAAATCTGAAGTTTTTAAAAAGTAAATTAATTAAGACTTGGGGATTCCCTAAATGTAGCAGTCCTGCCACTGCCTAAAATGTTTAGCAACTATGCAAAAATACTACGATGGAACTCCTAAATTTCTACACTGTGGGGATTAGGCTCAATAAATGGTTCCTGAATAAATGAGCTTTAAATACCAAAAACTATGATTACATGTATAAGTTTCTGTTGGAACTGTAACTCAAGATTTATCTTTTTGGAGATCTGAATGCAGAGAATGTTAACAATTGGGAAGAATTTTATGGCTCTTTAAATTTTATTAAAGATGAATAATCTCTGTGCTATAACATATAAACTTAAAATTAATTGAATTTGGTTCACTAGCATAGTCTAACCATGTATACTGTTTATCCTCTTCTTAGTGTTGCTTGAAATATCTGCTCATATAACATAAGGACTCACATAACCAGGGCAGCTGGGACGAGTAATATTCATAAAAAGGTAAAATGGGCCAAATTCACTTCTAAAATATTTTAAACATCTAAATTTACTGAAATTACACTTCCTTTGTAGCTAATGGTAGCTAACCTAGGATTAGGTATAATTTTCTTACCATGGGATCAGAATGTAAGGATAAAACATACCAACAATTAAGGATAAGATATTAACATTTTAAAGATGACATGTTGTAATGAAATCATAAATTTAGATGGGTATCACAGAAATCAAATGGCCCAAGCTCAATTCATTCACAACTGGGATAAAAAAAATTGGACATATTGGACAAATTATTGAAATGTTATTTTACACACACATACACACACCCCACTGTTAGCTAAAGCTCAAAGTCAAAACATTTAATAAATTATTTGGAGAATGCGGAACTCTTCTGGGTACATGAAAATTAGGTCAAAAGGTGGCAAGTAGTGTGGTATTCTAGAAAGCATACAGGATTACTAGGTACTCTATGTTCTACTTCAAGCTCTGAGAAGATGGAGGATAGATCAATTCACAAACCTGACTTAACTACCACATATTGAACTAAGCACTCAGTAATGCCAGAAACACATTATTTCAAATCCACATGGAACCTATAGCAAAACTGATTATAATATAGGACAGAGAGCAAGTTTTAACAAATATCAAAGGATTGAATTGTTCAAAGTATGTCTTTGGCCACAGTGGAATTAAACTAGAAATCAATATCCAAAAGATAACAAGGACTCAAATACAGAGAACTGGTGGTTGCCAGAAAGGATGGGGTGGAGGGATGGACAAAATAGGTGAAAGGGATTAAGAGGTACCAAAAAAAAAAAAAAAAAAAAAAGATAACAAGAAAATTAGAACTGCCTGGAAATAACCCATGGGTTAAAGAAGCAATCAAAGTAGAAAGGAGGAATATTATGAACAGAATAATAATAAACTTGTGGGAGGTAGCTAAAGCAATGCTTGAGAAAAATTATCACCTTAAATGAGTAAGAACAGAACTAAGGCTAACTAATCCATTACCTAACATACTATTTCAATAAGCTAGGCAAAGATCAACAAACCAAACCCAAAAAGAAAGTAGAAGAAACTAATTAATGAGATAAAAGGAGAACATTTAATGAAGCCAGAAAAGGCAAAAGTTGGTTCTTTGAAAATATTAAGATAATAAACTCCCGGAATAATTGATCATTAACAGTAGAAGGAAAATAAAATAAAATCACCAATATTAGGGCCATAAAAAAAGACATTTTTATAGCACTTGCAGACATTCAAAAATAAGAAGATATAATGAACAAATTTAAAAATACAGCCGTTCAACCTAACGTAAGAAGTTTAAAAATAATCAGTCTGAATTCTAAAGATGTTGAATCCACTAATAAAAACCTTCCATCAATGAAGCCTCAAGGTCCAAATGGTTTTAACTGAATTGTTCCAAACATTAAAGAAACAGCAATAGTCTTAGAGATCCAAACACCTTCATGAACATAGATATACAAATTTTGCACAAAATACTAGTATCTTTAAATTCCAGCAATATCTTTTTAAAAATCACAATAAAATGACATTTAAGAAATATAAGGGTAGTTTAGCATTTGAAAATCAATTTAATACACCACATTAACCGGGAACAAAATAATAGGAGAAAAGTCACCTGATGACCTTGAAAACTGTGGAGTGCTGTAGATAAAATTTAAGTCATCTATAAAAAAATTGTTAACAGGGCGCCTGGGTGGCTCAGTTGTTAAGCAACTGCCTTCGGCTCAGGTCATGGTCCCAGGGTCCTGGGATTGAGTCCCATATCGGGCTCTCTGCTCTGCGGGAAGCCTGCTTCTCCCTCTCCCACTCCCCCTGCTTGTGTTCCCTCTTTCGCTGTGTCTCTCTCTGTCAAATAAATAAATAAAATCTTTTTTTTTTTTAAAGATTCCATTTATTTAATTGAGAGAGAGAGAATGAGAGAGAACAAGCACATGAGAGGGGGGAGGGTCAGAGGGAGAAGCAGACCCCCTGCCGAGCAGGGAGCCCGATGCCGGACTCGATCCCGGGACTCCAGGATCATGACCTGAGCCGAAGGCAGTCGCTCAACCGACTGAGCCACCCAGGCACCCCAATAAATAAAATCTTTAAAAAAAAAAAAAAATTGTTAACAAACTAGAAATTGAAAAATCATCAAAAACCATCAGCTGCTTAGGAATACATCTAAGCAAATGTATATAAAACCTCTCCTTAGAAAAACCTCGAATTATTAAGAGAAATTAAGAAAGATATAAATAAGCAAAAGAGAAAAAAAATGAGTTCACATCCTGCCTATGACCCTATTCGTGTGGCTTTACACAAATTATTAAACCAAGCTTCCTCAGCTATAAGAGATTAAAAATATCAACTTGCTCTAATTGTTATATTAATTAGCAATAACACATTTAAGCAGTACAATCCATTCGCATTCAATCACTATTTCTATTTTGGCTTATTTTCTGTGGCAGTTGAGCAGAAATAAATTGTCTTCCTCTTACACATAGCATTTTGCCTTCTTCTCCCACCTCCCACCCCACAACCACTCACAACCAAACACATTTACCTGTTGTAATGAAGTGATTGCATCTCCAGGTCTTTCCATTTTACTATAAACTTCCGCTAGAAGAACATGAGAACGTCCATCTTCCATGAGAGTGGACAGTTCATTTACTAGGAGAGAAGATATTGGGAACAAATATTCACTTCAATGAACATTTACATTCTTCTACAAGTTTTGAAACTGCTCTTTAGGAAGAATGACTTTGAACAATAGTGAATAAAGTTGAAAAATTCTTAGTCAGTTAACTGAAGGTTGGCCAAATTAAAAAAAAAAAAAGATTTAGGATGAAAACTAGCTAGAAAAAAAGTTAAAGAACTGGATAACAACAAGGTTTTCTTAAACATATATTAAGAGATAACAATGTAACAACATACATAAAAATTTCAATTTACATTTTTTAAGTCTGTAAACATCTTTGTTTACTGAAGTCATTAAAAAATAATACAGACTAGTTGCTATGGGCAATTAAGAAGATAACTGCTGTTTTTAAAATAATAGATACTTGACAAGCGATGAAGTATGGTCTTTAAGGGCACCGACTTTGATAGCAATCTGTCTGGTTTCAAATCTAGGCCTTCTCACTTACTAGCTATTTAACCTTGAACAAGGTACTTTTCCATTTTGTGCTTCTCTTTCATCTGTAAAACAGTGGAAACAATAGTACCTATCTCAGAGGGTTGTTGTAAAATTTAAAAAGTTCATAAGTTATTGGGCGCCTGGGTGGCTCTGTTGGTTGGGCGACTGCCTTCGGCTCGGGTCATGATCCTGGAGTCCTGGGATTGGGTCCCGCATTGGGCTCCCTGCTTGGCGGGGTGTCTGCTTCTCCCTCTGACCTCCCCCCTCTCGTGCTCTCTCTCTCTCTCATTCTCTCTCTCTCAAATAAATAAATAACATCTTTAAAAAAAAAAGTTCGTGAGTTATGAAACAAGTTCACATATGCAATTAAAATATTCTAGTACATGATAAGTGCTATTTAAATACTTGGTATTATTATTTTGTGATTTAAAAGCAATAAAAGAACCCTAGATAAATAACAAAATAGTATTTCTTCCAGTATCTATCCAGTGCATGGTCTGTGCCACACATGTATCAAAGTGGTTTATATATATTGTTTCTTCAAAATCTCAGGAGGGGCAGGTTTTGTTATTGCTACTTTACAGGTAAGAGAAACTGTGAGACGGCACAAGGAACAAGGAGACTGTCACAGTGGGACAGAGGAGCAATGTCGCGCACATGAGAAGGGCCCCATACCCCACTGTGAAGACTTCGGCTTAACTCTGAGGGAAATGGGAGATGGCAGGGAGCTTGAGCAGACAAGAGCAGACCTACTCTGCTTAAAACGCTCAGTGATGCAGCTGTGGAGAGAGGCTACAGCAGGGGCTTGGGGCTGAGGACGGGCTAGGGAGGCCAGCTGGAAGGTCACTGCCAGAATCCACTTGAGACGATGGTGGCTTGTACAAGGCGACAGCTGTGGAACTAGTGGCACAGAGTGGGGTTCGGAATATATTCACAAGGTAGAATCAACAGGATTTCCTATGGTCAGGGACAAGGGTGACGGCTAGGATTGGGGCTCTCAGCAAGGGCTAAGAGGGATGAAGCTGTTCTTGAGACGAAGAAGGCTGTGTGCGGAACAGATATGAGGAGGCAGATGAGGAATTCTGACTAGACATGCCAAGTTTAAGATGCTTATTAGAACCCAGGTGCTACTTCAGCTAGATGAAGGTGGATATGTCAAGAAAACTGAGCCTTAGATTGCTAATTTAAAGATGGGGGTAATTATAATCACCTCAAAAACAAATGTGGACATTAAGGAAATTATAATGAAATGCTCAACAAATATTTATTATATGAAAGCATTTATGTTACATAAATGTAATAAACTTAACACTCACACAAGTAGAACGTGCTACTTGAGTCTCTCTTCTTTTATACCCTTTCCAAAAATGCATATGCACATGCAAGGCCATCTGCAGTGTTTCAAGCAAGGTCTGACAGACCCAGGCAAATATTTTTACGGAACCAATAACACTTTATGTAGTAAATGCATCCCAAATTAGAAGAATTTAAACACCAACTTCCTCAAAGCTAAATTAAAAGACCACTTTGAAAATACTAGAAAACTCAAGAGTTGGGCTGACCTTATCAGGTATCCAAACACATTTACAGTGAATAGGACACAGGCAAAAGCAAAATAACTCAGGGTAAGAAAATGAAGATTCCCAGAATCAGCCATACACATAAATAAGTTTATTATACAGTAAAGGTGGCATCTCAATACATGGCACTGAAATAAAACTGTTCTCCATTTGGGAAACTATATAGTAAAAACTGTATGGGGATTAAAGCACATGGATTAATGTTCTATAAAAATTCCAGAAAAATACAAAAGAATATTTTTACAATGTTAGGATGAGGGAAGTTTTTCTGAGCATGATAGGAAATTCAGAACTCAAAAAAAGAAAAGACTGGTATATATAATAATTAAGTATTCTATTTGACTGAAGAAATAATAAATTCAATTGAAAAAAACAAAAAAAGGAACAGGTTGGGAGAAAAATGTCTCCAAATGAGTAACAGGTGACAGATGATGAATCAGAGGTTCAGGGTCAAAGACAAAGGATATGAACAAAAACATCTAGAAGAAAATGTGATCTACAGACATAAAATAATGCCTAGCCTTATCAATCATCAAAAAAATGCAAATTAAAGTGTTTTTCCCCCCTCTGATTAATACTACACAATTATGGGACATTTTGGCCTTAAGAAAGAACCATGGGGCATGACTCAATTCTAGGAAGCACACAGAGGTATATAAACAAGGACTCAGTCTCAGTACTGTCTCCAACTTTTCTTCAATCTAAATGTCTATCAATAGGGGACTCATCAAATAAATTCTGATATCAACATATAGTAGAATGCTCTACCTGTGCTAAAGAAAATAAAGAAGAACTACATTTACCAACATGGAGAGAAGCTACTAAGCGAAAAATGCCTACTGCAGATGTGCAGCACAATATGATCCCATCTTGGTAGGAAAAATGTGGTAATTACATGAGAGAGAGAGAGAGGCATGGTGGGGACACTAATGAGAATGATACACAAGGTAAATGTGGTTTTCTCTGGAGAGTGGGACAACACAACTTGCATTCACTTCTGTAATCTTTAAATTTTGGGGATGAGTAAGTGCTAGATTTTAATTTAAAATAAAGATCTTTAAAAAGCAAACTTGTAAGAAGGCAATTTATAGTATCCAGTTATGTTTTCAATGCATGTAGTTTTTGACTTAGCATCTTGCTCCTAAGAAATAGAAGCAAGTATATACCAACGAATGAGATACTAGGATATTTCCTGTAACATAGTTTATTAATATCAAAAGAACGGAAAACCAACTAAATGCCCAATAATTGAAGGGAAGTTTAAAAAACACTATGGAGTTATAAACAAAACAAAACAAAAACTATGGAGTTATAGAATATTATGATGGCATTAGAATGATATGAATGTACTAACATCAAATGATATCTGGCACATGCTGTCTGTGAAAAAAAATTACAGGATGGGAAAAACAATCCATTTGAAAAGAAAATTATGCATATTACACTTATATATTTACAAATACACTAAAACACAAAAATGGTTACCTCTAGGGAGGTAGTTTGAGAACAGGGCAAGTAGAATTCACAGGAGAAATTGGAGACTTACACATTATATTCTTTTAGAGTGTTGAATTTTTAAAAAAACTTAAAAGAGGAGTAAAGATTATAAAGGTGTTTACTTGATATATAAAAATATCAGATGTAGTTGTAATTTAAAGGAAACTCCCTTTATATCATTTTGGAAAGTAAAGTATCTTTCTATAACACAACTAGCTGTTTCATAAATCTGTTGTTAGATTAGTCAAATATTTTAATAGAGTGACATGCTCATAAATGAAATAATCAACCTCACACATATAATACTGAAAATATATATAATACTGAGAATACAAATAAACATTTATACAATATAAAAATAAAATAGATCAGACCTATCAGGTATGGTATATATATTTTTCAAATCAGAAAGACTTTCATACCAGGTTCATGAGCTAGAGCATGTTGAAGAACTTTTTCTGCTTTGTCATACCATTTCAATTTTAATAGAAGCTCAGCCAGGTCATAGCAAAGATAATTTTGTTGTCCACTTTTCAGAGCGGCTTCATAGTAAGTGATTGCCTAAACAAAATGCATTTCAGTTAGAAAATAAGGCAATGAGAATGGTGTTAAGCATAGATATTTTATACATTACAGACTTAAAGCATATAAAAATTGGAAAAAACTTAGAGGAGAAGCTTAGGCATGTACCTGCCTGTCAGTTAAGTATGCCATTTTTCTTAGACAATCAAACATCAGACAAGGCAACGAGCATTTCTTATGAAAAGCAGCTAACGAAAAGTGCTTGGTGAAACTGTTTTTACCAGTTTTAGTCCAGAGGCCAGTGAACTTCAGTGAATGCAAATACTCTGCTAGCGGCTGTATATATGTTCAGTAGTGACCAGGGATAGAACAAGACATTAACAACTAAAGGAAAATCCACTACCCGTACTAGAGGGGGGAAAAAAAAGCACACAGCTTATCAAAACTGGTTCAACAGAAAGGACATCTGTTATGCTTTGTCATAGAATGAAAAAGATGTAACCACAGCAATTTCATCGTAATTGGCTGCAGGGTTTAGGTGTAAGATGATGTCGGAAGTAAACTTCAGGGCCCAAACAGTCTTGGCAAAATGCAGCGATGAAGAGACACTGAGAAAGTCTTTAACATAAATTCCTGTTTGTGAATATAAATTTGGAGTTTACAACCATCAGGATGTAAACGGTGCTTGCTAAAGACTTCTCATAAAGCAGGGTTTGAAACATTGAATCCAATAGACATATTTCAAACATATAAAGTGCTTACCTTCGAATAGTTGTGGGTTTTGACAAGTGCTTTCCCAATTTTGCTTGCCAGTGTTCCATCTTTGGGATTCTGATTTAATGCTTGCTCATACGCTACTATGGCTTCTTCAGGCTAATGTTGGCGGATACAAAAAATAAGCAATGAATAAACAGCTTAGCTGGATCCCATTAAAGGACAACATTTCTATAATTAAGCTCTATACCTGGAGTATTCACTCAGTGAGACAAATAAAGCACATATTTAAGTCTAGAAACGTTAACAGTTTCAGAGAGGTGACAGTCACTACTGGTAGGTGTAACTCATTAGTAAACACCATTTTGGCCACTAGCTCTCTTCATTCTTCCACTTAAAAGACTCTCTTAACTTGCTTCTGGTACCATCTCTATTTCAAATGATAGTGCTGAATTAATTGCATCTCAATTTGAAAACAACTTTTTTGTTGTAATGGTTATTTCCTTTTACAGTGATGACTGGATTGTCATATATTAAATAACATTAAAAAATTCCTTTTAAGAGACTATGAAGCTAATCACAAAAAAGAGTTTTACCATTTTTTAAAAAAATCTGAGTTCAGTAGCATCAGGAACTTTACCTCTTGTATATTCATGTATGCATCACCAAGGAGAAGAAAAGAACGAGGGCTGGGCATTCTCTCAGCAATTTCTCTAGAAATCAGACCAACTCTATTTAGTAGACTGAATACAAGTATCTTCTTCTACACCAGCTAAATACAAGGTAAGCTCACTTATTTCAATTAGCCAATAGCCTTCAGAGTACCTTCTACATTTTCAACAGTGTAACATTGTAAAAGAAAAAAACCACCTACCCATACCCACACCCAGATTATTTATGCTAGATCAACTCTTTTTTTTTTTTTTCATTCAATCTTTCCATTTTCTGAAATGCAGGTAACAAGAGTACTGGTAGACAGTAAACATATCAATTATACAGAAACAGGTTTTGTTATCTCTAATTCTGAAATGATGTGAGTGAAGGCACAAAAATATCATGTGATGCTATTGCAACGTATGGTTTCTCATTCAATTGGTCCAAAAACTATTTGAGAAGTATAATTTTATAGATGTTGCTGAAGAACTGAAGTCTACAACTAATGTGTCAGATCTGCCTGAAACAAAGCCTGTGCTTTTAACTATGATATTAGAGAGTATCCAAAACAAAGCGACCCTATTTTAAAATATTTTTCTATCATGAGAAATGACAGTTAGTGCTGATCTTTTGGAAACATCATAGAAAATATGATCTAGGACCTCTAGTTCATCCATCTATACATGGGATGCTGCTCAGTTTCTTTGAATCACTCAGCACCTACAAAGAACCTGAGCAGAGTTCCAAGTTTGGGTATTTACATAATATAGATGAACCAATGACTGAATTCATCAACATGTTGCTGTGTTCTCAACAGATAAAAATGTTGATTTTCTGTTACATAAAGTGTGTGCTTGTATGTTTATCTTTTTGTTTGGGGAGAAAAGTAAGAGCAGCCCGTGTGTATGTCTGTGCACACACATGCACACGCACGCACATGAATGTGTGTATCCCAATAACCCCTAAGGGCACCAGTGTATAATGTAACTGTTAAAGTCCCTGCCCTTTCACCAAGGAAAATTTGTAATCCATACCTTGGTGTGGTATATACTAAGCCATAATTTCGTATTGCTAGAGCTGTCACGCTGAGCATTAAAAATGGCCCTGAGGGGCGCCTGGGTGGCTCAGATGGTTAAGCGTCTGCCTTCGGCTCAGGTCATGATCCCAGGGTCCTGGGATCGAGCCCCGCATTGGGCTTCTGGCTCAGCAGGGAGCCTGCTTCTCCCTCTCCCTCTGCCTCTCTCCCTGCTCATGCTCTCTCTCTCTCTCAATCTCTGTGTCTCAAATGAATAAATAAAGTCTTTAAATGGCCCTGAACTGTTGTTACATTACACAGCTTTCTTAAGCTATTAGAATACACATAACTTGCTCTTGCCCATCCCAAACAGGAAGATTAAAGTGAAATCACATCTAAGGAAGGAGGACAGCTAAGAATCCAGAGTAAGCCACAGGTTGAAATAATCATAATCACTACGGCTTATGTCTTAGGGAGACTGAGTTACTTGGTTAGTGTGATTGTGGTTGGTAGTTGAACATATTAGGGAAAGGGTCTATACGGTAAAGCAGTTAAAAGAAAAGAAAAAAAGAAATTTGGGGATTAATTTTAAGAAGTAAGTGTGTCAAAATACAATGGGTTAAAATAATCACTTACCTATAACAAGTAATATATAACATTTTCTCTTTTCTGTGCTTCAGATAAATATCTGCCATTTTCTCTTTGGCCTCTGTGAAATAAGGCTGCTCAGCTGTAACGTTCCGAAGCATGCTTAAAGCCCGCTCCACATCTCCTTGCGCCAGAGCTAGGTCTGCGTTAGCAATGGTAACACGTAATTCTTCAGACGTCCCAGAAAATTCATGGATGGCATCTTGTAAAACTTTTGCTGCCTCGTGCTGTAAAGATGAAGTTAAAATAACACTCTTTCAAAATATTCAACAAATTACATTAGAAAGGAAGATTTTCTCCAAATCCAGAATGAACAGTAAATGTTAGGATCTTCATGAAATATTGACAGATTTTTGAAAAACACAAAAATTTAAAATTAAACTCAGAGACCAAATTCAGATGACTGTATAAATATCTGTTGGCTGAAAAGTGTTTTCATGACCGGGACAATGGGGGTTGCTACACGAGAGCTGTTGCTACTGCAATTTAATAAGCATTTACTTTGCGTCCAGCATCTAATTCTCATAGAAATTCTCTGAAGTAGTTACTATCATTATCCCCACCGTGCAGCAAGGAAACTGAAATTTGGAGAGTGAAGAAGTTAACAAACGACAGACTCAGAACCCAAACTCAGGCAGCTTGACCCCAGAGCTTAAACTCTTAGCCATGCTCATTACTGCCTCCTTGATGGGATCCAGTCCACAATCCTCCCCTGTACCAAATGGCTCTTCATTAACTAGCAGATTACTTTATTCCCTATGCCAGGACCTCATTTCTGTTATGTCTCAGCTGAATACATTCCCTCAGTTCCAAATCTGTACCTCGATGAATCTAAAATGTCATTTATTTTAGGATTCATCTCAACTTAAGAGATTATAAGACATTTTGATTTCAGAAATGTTAACATGTGAAAAAAAATAGTGCATTCTGGAATCAACTATCTATGGCAGAACTGGTTCTTCTTAAATATATATTTAGGTTAATGTATTAGTGAAATAGAAATTATTTTGAGATTTGGCAAGTATCTAGACACAGCCTTCTTAATTTCCACTAAAATATGAAAATAACTGATGAGCAACTGTTGCAATCTAAAAAACAGATATAAATGTTAAGTTCCTCATTTTTTTTTTTTTTTTAGATTTTACTTATTTATTTATTTGACACAGAGAGAGAGATAGCAAGAGAGGGAACACAAGCAGGGGGAGTGGGAGAGGGAGAGGCAGGCTCCCCACTGAGCAGGGAGCCCGATGCAGGGGCTCGATCCCAGGACCCCGGGATCATGACCTGAGCCGAAGGCAGACGTTTAATGACTGAGCCACCCAGGCGCCCCAGGTTCCTCATTTTTTATAAGGCTTTAACTCTTCTCTCAAAAGTGCATGCTTGCTTGCTTTCTACTTATTATTATATTATTATATGTATTATTTTAAGTATTTGATTTTACGATCATCCTATGAATTTACCAAAGCTGTATTCATCAAGTGGTTCTTTCGTTTTGTCAACTACTAGAGTTTCAGGTTGGTACTTTCATTCGATTCCAGTAGCACTTGTGTGTACATGGACGTGTGTGCTGGCGTGTGTGTGACTCTTTCAGGAGTCTACAGAATGATAACCATGTTATATTATTACCTTTCATGGTAGCCAAGGTCATCAAAGATTATATTATTACATACATCATATTACACTGATACATTTCATGGTACATAGTAATTTATATTATTACTCATATTAGATTACACATAGATGGCATTACTATATTGCCTGGTAGCTAATGAAAGCACACTGTTACCTAAGGTCATCCAGCTGCAAATTATGTTTAACGTCAGGGGTTTGCAGAAAGGACATGACTTGGTTCAAAGTAATGAGAAATAAATTTTCTAAACTCGGCCAGTTAAGCAAGAAAATAATTTCAGCTTTTTCATTTCCTACTAATATATATACTTGTCTAACAAAGTTCCGAGCTGAACCACTGAATTAAAACTTGACTTACCTGTTCTCCATTTAAGCGGTGAACCTCTACCAACTCGAGAAAGATTGATAAACGATGGTTTGCATCAACTTCAGTTTTTCTGTATTTTGATTTTGAGGAAGCTCCAATTCTCATTCCTGGTAAACTCATTGCCATATGTAGAGTTTTAATTGCTTCTGCTATTTCACCCATTTTCTTTTGTGACTGAGCTTTTATCAAATGATATAAAGGGTATTCTCTCACCTGAAAAAAAATACTATTTAGAAATATTTCCTTGGAGTGCTTACAATGCCAACACATAATTTACAATTCACCAAACATTAAAATAACAGAATCTCTGAGGATAGTCTACCTGTGATTGTATACATGAGGTCTATTTCTGTCTTTTTATTAACTTTCTGATCATTTATGGTGTTAAATCAGATTCAGGCAACCTGCCACTACCCAGCATCCTCCTGGATGACAAACAAGGTGATTAAGGGCTTTTACCATGATAGAAGAGAAAATACAAAAAAAAAGCTTGTAAGGCTAGCAAATATATTCTAGGAAATTTAGTTTTCAGGAAAGGAATTTATCTGGGACTTCTTTTTTTTTTTTTTTAAAGATTTTATTTATTTATTTGACAGAGAGATAGACAGAAGAGCACAAGCAGAGGGAGTGGCAGAGGGAGAGGGAGAAGCAGGCTCTGCACTGAGCAGGGAACCCGATGTGGGGCTCGATCCCAGGACCCTGAGATCATGACCTGAGCCGAAGGCAGACGCTTAACCCTCTGAGCCACCCAGGCGCCCCTATCTGGGACTTCTAATACTGGTATCAAGTCATTAGATTTCTAGAAACAGTTTTTTCCCTTTCTTTTATTTTTTAGTTTTAAGATTAAAAATCCCAGAACACTTTAGTCAAACTTGGTTTTACCCTTTGATACTACTCTGCAACACCTAGTTATGAAGGCTCTATCTTTATTTTGGGTACCAAAAGTGTATACAGAAAAAATAAGAAAATGACAAAAAGATCGAAGAAGGAGTCGAAGGAGATGATCATGTCTAGGAAGGCTCCAATCATCCTTACGGCTATGGCTGTAAGCCTGAGCTAGGCATCACATTTTCTGGTGGGCTCTGTGTAAATACTCATGATTCTGTTCTTTTCTCAAGAGATTTCGAGTCATTGGGATGGGGTACTGGCACTAGGGTGGTAACACACCACTAGTCTTGAGAACTACTGACCAAGAAGCAGGCACCGTCTTCTGCAAATCCTGAATTCTCCAGTCCACTGAAGGGTCCTCACATAACAGGGTTCAAAACCCTGTGAACCAAAGCAAAAGTCTGAGGAGCTCCTCCACGACTCCAGGTAGTTCAGGAAGCATCTGAACCTATGATTTTCCCTAATGCTTAGGGATATGGGATGTAACGCAGAGTGTCTTGGCTAGAAATCTAACGTGTTTATATCCTCAAACCACACACGAACTTTCAAAATGACTAGGTGTTCTTTGATGATGACTCTAAAAAGTTATTAAAACCCACAATCCAAGAAAGAAACAAGCAATAAATAAGAGTTCTTACACATAAAAACATTTGGCATAATGCTCTACAGTTTACAATTATTTTTATTTACATCGATTACTGCATTTTATGCCCACTACAACTGTAAGGTGTTATTATATGAGTTTTATAGAGAAGAAAACAGGTTCAGAGAGAGAAAAGTGGAAAAACCAGACACTGACCCCCAGGTCCTCTGTCTCCAAGTTCATATAGTTTTTTTAATTACAAAACAGCTGCCTCCACTTTTTCTCCTGCTTGTGAATCCAAACTTTTTTCCACGAAAAATAAATTTATTAGCAAAACATTATAGGCAAAAATACAAAACAGGTGAATATGTAGACACTTGCTAAAGGTTCAAGGAGGGTGATATGTTTTATCCACCTGAATCTGGAATACGTACCTTAAAATTATAGCTCAGACAAAGTTCAAGTGACTGAGAACACAATTTGAATTTTTCCTGAGACAAATAAACCTGAGCTATCAGGAGATGAGCATCTGCATAAGAAGGGTTGTGTTCTAGGCAATGCTGCAGGTTATTATAAGCTGCTTCAATGTCACCTAGTAAGAGAAACAAAGCATTATAATTCAAATGGTTGAGAGAGAAAGATGTGAGAGAGAAGAGGGACATGAATAGTTTATGGACAGTTCCATGCCTACCTGCCCCAGGTAGCCCCTATCTAGTCTTCATGAAAGAATATACCTGTAAGTCAGGCCAGCCATAAGGAGCAAACCAGGGAAAGCTGTGAAAGGATCAGAGTCAATCACCATTGCTACTTCTGAGAGGACTATAAATGTACCTTTATTTATTTTCCTGATCAAAAAACTTTTTACTTAAAATTTCATTACAGTAAGTTTTGCAAAACACAGACATTTAAATAGCTAGAATTCTGTACTGTCACTTATATTAACAAAGAGGATATATAGTCTTATAATCATCCTTGGCCAGAAATTTTACCACTGTATTTAAAATAACAAAAAAAGCATTAAGGATATATTCCGGACATTCAGAAATAGGAGTTATTGATTTAATATGCCTTTAAATGCCAAGTGTAATAGCCAATGTTTTGGACACACATCCTCTGTACATCTACGAGTCTTAGATGGAAGAAATGATCAAAATTAAAGTACAGGAATGGTGGAATCTGTTGGGCTGGTAGATGGGGTAGAAAGAGGCTCTTCAGAGAAGGAACAGTATAAACTCTAGGTCCTAGAAGAAATTTCTAGTGATATAACCCACAGTATTCCGCCTAAAGCCATCTCACAGACTGTGTTAAGTAGGTATAGGATCCCAGCTCCCCATTCAACCTTGCTAGGAGCACCAGGGAAGAACAGACCCTAAATTACTCTCTGCTCCTTAACCTCACCTGATACCTCAATAGACCAAACGAGGCTTACAGTTAGGGCTTCCAGTTCCCAAAGGCCCAACCTACCCATGACAGAATCCATCTACACAGAAAACAGTTTTCTTACAGACATAGGATTAATAAACAAGTAACAGGCTGAGGCTGCATAATAACATACAAAACATAGTATCAAAATTTGTCAATCAACCAACAAACATAATAAATAATATTGGATTATTTATTGTTGTGATACACTCTAACACTCAAGAACTGAGCAGGCAGAAAAGGAAATAGGAAATGGGAACGCTAAGTATAATAAACTGGTGTGCAAATTACCACCCCCATGTTCTTTAAGGAGGAAAAGGATTAAGGAGATAGCTTGAAGGTTACTGCTAAGGGGGAAAGCACATAGGAAAAGAATCAGGGTTTACAAATAAGAGACTGAAGAATATGAGGACTGAATGAATAATTGAGATCAGAATCTTTCTTTTAAGTGTGATGAGGGGGCAAAGATGCGTGGTTAGTATTTAGAAGGTCACTAAATATTTAAAAATGAGAAATGGGTAATCACTGTTGTGGAAAATAGCCATATAAAAAAAGAACACAACAATATAACATTTTAATCTAAGAGCAGCCTAATTTCCTTTAAGGGAAAAATGAAAGACATTTCTGTCCTGCATGTATGTCTTTGTAACATAGAATTTGGCTGGTCTTTGTCCCAGGTTCTTGGGACAGAGTCTTAAAATCTTGGAGTTTCCTGAGTGAGAGAAGTATCTTTGTTGTTTTGAGGTTGGCTTTGACAATTTATATAAGTGAGAAGATGAAGAGTAAGCCCTAGATAGCTTATGTTCAGAATATGACTCAATGGGGACCAGCCATGCCAGAAAGACCAACCAAGCAGAGGATGGTGTTATCTACCTGAACTGGGGAGCAGGACCCTGAAGCCTGACTTCAATCACATGCCCAATGATTCCATATCCATGCCTATATAATGAACCTGGGGTGAGCTTCCCTAGTTGTTAATGCTCTCTACGTACTGTCATATATACATGTGTTGGATTGTTGATGTGTACCAACTCCATAGACCGAACAATGGCAGCTTCACATTTGGAACCCTCCCAGGCCTTTGCCCTGTGCATCTCTCCCTTTTGCTAGTTTGTATTAGTATCCTTTTGCTATACTAAAACTCTAATCATATGTATAGCAATTTCCTGAATTCTAGGAGTCGTTCTAGTGAACTTGAACCTGAGGGGTCATAGAAACCCCGAATTTGTAGCCAGCTAGTCAGAAGTTCAGGTGGCCTTGGCAACCCCAGAACTTATGGCTCATGTCTGTGCCCTTAACCTGTGAAGTCTGGTCCAACTCCGGGTAGTTCTGGGGTTAGAAGTCATTGTAGTTGGCAGTTTTATCAGGATACTGCTATTCGGACATACGGCAGCACTATTTCAAATGATTTAAGGCTGCTGTTTTTAAAAATGGGGTCAATATAGGAGACTTTCACTTCTAGAGACTTTGGCAATTAAGAATTACTACACTGAGACTGATTTATATCAATTTTCAAAATAACAGATGTCTAATAAATTAATCACAGAACTCAAAGTCCCAGTTTAATTATTTAGTAGATAATACCATTTCAACTTGGAGGAAAGTAGAAATTTCATGTGGCTCAACAGAACCTAACCGGAAGAAGATATAATAGAGCCACTTCTTACATCTAGAGTATTTCAGAGATACGAGCTTTTGAGATCATCTAGTTTGTTTGTTTTTTTAACAGTTAAAATTGAGGTACAAAAAATTAGCAAAGTCAATCTTCTAACTCTCTCCATTATATATAAGAAATAATTGTTTAGGATGATACCTTTAAGTTGTTTTCTACCCCTTATGATTTTACAAACTTAATTTACTTTGCATGGTATTCATCTAGAAAAGGTACATAAACAGAAGCCCCAAAGGTTGGTCTACTATGTATATAGTCACAAACCCATTTGTGTCCTAAAAGAAGAAGGTTATATATCTGGGGTTATTATTTTTTTTTTTTGCTATACATAATCACAGAAACTAAACAGGAATTAATCAGTACATTTCATAAAGGCCCCAAACCTGGTAAACCTTGCATCTGGCTCTGCCAATGAGTCAATAACTATGGACTAAAGACTATAAATTCTTACTGCCATCTAAGTATCTGACGGACTTTTTTTTTAAGTGGTACAACTGCATTTTCCCAGCAATTCACTTATCAACAAATATTATATTTATCGTAATTTTTAAAGAATTAAATAGTACAGAATATTATGCAATTTTATTTTGGATTAAAATTATTTATTTGTGCACAAGTAAAATGCATTTTATGTGACTGTTCTCCATATATATACTTAGTTTATTTCCCTTTTGTTTTTGTCAACATCAGAATAAAAAAGTTATTTTAAGTTTTTAAGGTATATTCTACCTGATAAATATTTCACTTTGGCTATTAGGAAGACAGCTTGCAGAAGACCTGGTACAGTTCTTACTATAGTCTCCAGGATTGAGGTACAACGTCTGAGAAGTGGAGAGAGAGGTTGCCCAGGACTTGCAGGCTATAAACAAAACAAATTAGCATATCATTTTATAAGTTTTAGTATTTAGTTAAAAGTGAACACACACATTAAATTTTAGTATAACTAGCAAAACTATGTATTTTTCCAAAATTTCTGTTATTCTACTTTTGCATCTCTTTACCATAATGTGACTAATACTAATTTATCTGCCTGGGATCTATGAACAAACCATGTAAATAACGGCTTTTATTCAGCAAAATAGTTATGAATTATACAATTACTGATTTGATAACACGAAAGGAGTGTATTTGTTCAAAAACTGTAAAGGAAACATATTCAAAGGAAAGATAACTAAGAGGCAGAATTTCTTGCTGGAATTGAGAGTCAAGGCAATGTGAATTCTAATTCTAGACCTGCCTTGTGATTTATTCAGTTCAGTAACTTGCATTGCCCCCTAGAGTACTGTAAGATCAGTTTCTGAAAATTCTTTTTTTTCCTAGTAGATATCAGAAGGTAGAAAACACTCATGTGCACTACACCAGATGTCTCATACCTTCACATTTTCTGCTTCTCTGCCTGGCATGCTGGAGGTCCTCAAAGGTTTTTGTTGTTGTTTTTTTCTCTTTTTATTAATATGCAGTAAATATAACTAAAAGAGTACTAGAAATTTATTGTCTTAATGGCTGTCTTAATCAATGATTACCCACTCACAAGCTAAAATATGATATTAGAATTTAAATGTCAAATGTTCATTCTCCCTGCTTTGCCCTACTAATGCTGCTTCCAATCTTCCCCATTGTGCCCCTATGCCCCACAAGTATATAGTCTTAGCTAGAGTACGGTCTCTTACTGACAATCACTTCTACCACGAGACGTTGTTATTGACAAGAAAGTGCCACATCTCTTTGCTACCTTGCAGCACAAAAAAATGCGCAAAAATTTCAAAAGGAATTTCAAAATATGACCCCTGGTGCCTAGAACACCTCAACTTCTTTAAATTTCTACAGCACTTATAATCTGTGTAATAAAATTTAGCATTCTATATTATCTTATACAACCCCATAGTAGTTTCATATTTTGTTTTGCTTCTCTTATAGGGCTAGGGTGCCTTGAAGATTGGAATTTTACACGTTTTCAAACAGTAATGAATACAGAGTAAACTCTTTAAAAGTACTTTTTTCACTTGAAAACAGTGGAAGTGTAGGTGATATAGTGAGGTTAAGGTTCTTTGCCATCTGCTAAGAATTATTTATTGAAAAAAATTATTATTTGAGAACCACCATCATTTTTACTGTAAATGCTTTCAGAGTAAAGCATATATGGACAATCTCTAAGATAACATCTGTTTGATTAAAAAAAAACCTATATAAAAGGGGCAAGGAACAGAGCTGGAGAGACAGACAAGTCTGTCTTTCTGGTATTTCCCTATGAAAACAGCATTGTAAGTGCTAATTAGGTGCTATCACGCTGACAAAGGTTATATTGCAGGAACACAGAATGTCGTGGACTAGGGACACAATTACCACTTTACCACATTACCACATTATTTCTTTCTCCACCTACAATTAATTCTTAGCATAGCTGCCAGAGAAATCCTTTTAACCTGTTGAGTCAGATCATGCTGGAAACCTTTTGCTGGCTCCTCACTGTGCTCAGAGTTGCTGCTGGGGAAGTGACAACAACTTCTAAGGCCCCACGTGGTCTTGTATCCTCTCCTGTGACCTCCTCCTCACTCCCTCCCGGTCACATGAGTCTCCTGTGTCCCTCGAGGCCACAGCACAAGTGTTCCTGTGCCTGAGACAATCCATACCGTATTTCCACAGGAACACTTCAAGTTTTTGTTCAACTTTTACCATCTCAAAGAGGCCTAACCAGACCATCTTATCCAAAATTACCACCCCCGACCCTAGTCTGTTATTTTCTATTACATAATTGACTTGACTACATTATCTGTCTCCTCTGGCTAGTTATATATGCTTCAAGAGGGCAAAGGCTGTGGTTTATTCTTACACGACCACCTCGCCAGCTCCAAGCGGAGCCCTGGGTACTCTACAAGCATTTGTTGAGTGAATTCTGAATACTGCACAAGTACTGAAAAATGTATTCTGACTCTAAGCAACTGAGAACAGATCACGACAGGGGAGACTGGGATCAATCCTAGGTGTTATTCCAGAAGGGTTAATTTATTTTTCTTTCTTTTCTAGTTTTTATTTAAATTCTAGTTAGTTAACATACATTGCAATATGGTTTTAGGTGTAGAATTTAGTGATTCATCACTTACATATAACACCCAGCGCTCATCATAACAAGTGCCCTCCTTAATCCCCATCACCCATCTAGCCCATCCCCCACCCACCTCCCCTCCAGCAACCCTCAGTTTGTTCTCTATAGTTAAGAAGGGTTAATTTAAAACACATTATGAAAGTCTGTAAAAGGACTTGGTGATCAAAACAGCAGCATGGTTTCCCTAAAGAAAGGCCATTATCTTCATTTCTTCCAACACAAGGAAGCTGTAAATCAGGGAGAATGCTAAGTATTATGCTTTTAGCAATGAGGTATTTGATAGTCCCTCTTAGGATATTCCTGTGCTGAATCGTGAGCTGAGTATACTAATGTTAAGTCGTCTGCTTACTGTCTGTAATAAAAAGAGTGCTGACTAATGGACCCACATAAATTTGGAAAGAACTCTCTGAGAATACAATAAAAGGTTCCATATTCAGTTCTATTCAGAGGTAGATGAGGCAGATAATGGAGGACAGTAAAGATCCATATAAAGCAGATGACAATCAGGATCTAAAAGAATATGGTAATCTGGAATTATGAATCTGAGGAGATAAAATTTCCTAGGGATAGAGTCTACACGTGGGTCCTCAGTTGCAGTGAATAATAGATCCAAGGACTTTAGTTAACTATTAATTCAATAGGGGTCAATAATATAAATCACGAAAGAAAGCTAGAGGAACACCCAGAATTAGGGAGGAAGAGGACCTGTTAAGGCCAAACCCATATACGGAATAGTGAGCTTACTGAGAGCTTACTAACAAAATAAAGGCTGTCCTCAGGCTCACGGCCAGGGTTCTAACTATGTCATATAAAAAATAAATGGCTAAAAACCTGGAATTGTTTAGGGGGACCATGAAACCTAATTTCTAAAATCCAAAGGTCTGTGTTATGAATGAGGAATAATCCTTGCTTTGGCGAAGTAACTGGACTTGCTCTGTGCCACTCGAGAGAGCAGGAGGCGGACCAGGAAATGGGTGGACTTTTTTTTTAACACAAAGTTGAGTCTGACAACATCGGAAATACAGTCTAATAGTCATAGTCACACAGTAAGAACTGCATTTTTGAATGCACCCCAGGGTTGGATGGACACGTAATGTGGATGCTGTGGAGTAGATTCAAATATCACATGCATGTCTGAATTAAATGACTTCTAGTATTTCTTCTAAACCGAAGATATTAAGATTTTATGAACCGTAAGTGAATATTTGTAAACCAATATTTATTATTTGATAGCAGTCACTGGTGTAAGTACTCTGATTTAAAAACTATTTCAACTAATAGAGATATAAATACGACCATTAAGATGCTGATATAATCTAACATGTGAAAGACAATTTATTAGCACGTTTTATAAAACATCATATAAGTGATGTTGAAAATATTTTCGTTGAAAATAAGTCCCAGGATTACTTACCTGCATTGGACAGAAATTCAGATATTCGGTAATAATTTCTAGCAAGAAATCAGGATTTAAGTTCTCAAAATACTGTATGCCAAGTGGTAGATCTTCTAATTGTGAAAAATGAGTGTCCAGAACATCGTTTAACAAATTAATAACTTCCTCTTGTTGTTTATTTTTCTTCATAGCAAGAATTGCATGTAAATAGGTTAATTCCTAGAAATTAAGTAGCTGTCATTAATTACCCCATTCAGTTGTAAAGCCATTTATTTCTACTTAGATTTCAAACATTTATGAAGTGCTATTTATGTGCATTATCTGTTCGAATTTAAGTATTAGCCTGGACAAACTTTTAGAATCTTATACAAGAATATTTAAAGTCTAATTCTGTGTGGAGGTAAGTTAGTAAATGCAATTATATATTAAAATTAGTGTATATGTTAAAATTAGTGAAAGCCATTACTATTACTAAAATTTAAAATCTCGTATTTTATAAACAGTACCTAGGATCTACCATCTGATAAAATAAAACACTGTACCGCAGATTTTCCAATAGACTGCTGAATTTCCCTAAGGAATTCTAGCTGCTGATCTGCATCCTGTAACTGCCCTTCAATTAATCGACATCGGATAAATCCTAAAACCAAACAGGACAAAAACAGTCAAAGTCCACCTCAATTCAGGCATGTACACTTCAAGCTAACACAAACATTAATGAAACAGATTTTCCCTCCATAATAAAGTATTAATCATTATAATAAAGTATAATAGACTAAAGTAATACTACTTCCGATTTAAGAAAAAAAGAATAAAAGAAAATAAAATGGGCAGCTTTGTACCCAAATAAAATCAGTTACTAAGAAATTCAAAATTTATAGGAACTATCTCATAAAAATCTATTCTCTCAGACGATGGACTCTGAAAAACAAACTGAGGGTTCTAGAGGGTAGGGGGGTGGGAGGATGGGTTAGCCTGGTGATGGGTATTAAAGAGGGGACGTATTGAATGGAGCACTGGGTGTTATACACAAATAATGAATCATGGAACACTACATCAAAAACTAATGATGTAATGTATGGGGATTAACATAAGAATAAAAAAAAAGGAAAAAAATCTATTCTCTCAAGATATTTAAGAAATAAAAACTTCATTTTTAAAGACATGTTTTTTTTTCTATTGTGGATAATGGAGGACAGTTTAATTTTAGAAAACCACAACATACATTTTTTTCTCCTTTAACAGCATGTATTAAAAGGAATTATGACTTGCATCTCTCTGAGGAACATTTAGAAAGAGCTGTCATACCAGTCAGTGCAGGGATGCTAGTTTCATCAAGTGTCATGGCAGTCTTATACCACTTCAATGCCTCCTTAACTTTTCCTTGTAAAATCATTTGGCATCCAAGTTCTGCAGCAAATTCTGATTGCTGAGGGGCTAAACTAAAAGCTCTTTCTAGTAATGTCTGAATTTTTTGAAGAATGAGTTGACTTCGCCCACACTAAAAAGAAAAAAGAAATTTTAGACTAGAAAGTCAAACACTTCTACTCAGGTGGGAGGATTATTTTTTCCTAAAGATACAAATTATTTGTACTTCATAGAAATAGAATGAAAAAATAAATAAAAGTATTTAATAATCAAATAAAACTTCTCTATTTACTATCTAGACAGTACAGCAAAAGTTTATATCCTAGCAGAACTTAAAATCCTAATGAGCTATTTTAAACAATAGCTTCTTGAAAAGTATACTCTAATGAAGTTGCTGTACATTTTTTAGAACTTTTTCTACTTTTCATACTTTTTAAAACTGTCTCATGATTGTTTTACAAATTAGACAAGAAAATTGTTAAAGGTTTATATATATATACATATATACATATATATATATATACATATATTAATCTAATCAAAACTTAAGACAAGGATTTGCTTTCCCCCTAAGGAGAAGGTATGCCACCATGGAGAATATTTTAAAAGATCACGCATTAGAATCTTTATGAAAAAAGCTTCAAAAAAATTTTAAGAAATGGCAACTCTGCTGAAGTATGTAATGTTCTAACATAATAACTTTTAAGAGTAAAATACTAAACTGCTTGAATTTTTGTAAGCTTGTTTAAAAACTAATCAAAATAAATTATCTGGCAATAAAGTAAATAAAAAAGGTAAATATCTTCCTTAATTCAAACTCTTGTAATAGCACAGGATTTTTTTCCCTCTACATTTCACACAATGTGACAATCTGTTTTTTAACAAAAGAATTCAGTTTCAATGTCATTTAATAATTAAGATCCTTGATTTTTTCTTTCAATTTTATGTCTAGTATTTCACTTGAATATATCGTTTTCCTTATTTTTTTCTAGTTTAATTAAGAACTTTTCAATCCTCTCATTCCTTGTATTGAGATTCTGCAGTATTTTTCTGTTCCATTCCTGATGATCTTCTTATTGGATGTTGTAATAGAAACATTTCTTTACTACTATTATTAAAAAAAAAAAAAAAAATCCCAGCCATTTTCCCCACCAAAATTGTCTCCCACCCATGTTAAAACTGTTTTTCAAATACAGTTGACCCTTGAATAATGCAGGGGTGAGGGTGCTGTCACCCATGCCCTATCCCCCTCTCCCGCACCACACAGTTGAAAATCTGCATATAGGGGCGCCTGGGTGGCTCAGTCGTTAAGCGTCTGCCTTTGGCTCAGGTCATGATCCCAGGGTCCTGGAATTGAGCCCCACATTGGGATCCCTGTTCAGCAGGAAGCCTGCTTCTCCCTCTCCCACTCCCCCTGCTTATGTTCCCTCTCTTGCTGTCTGTCAAATAAATAAATAAATAAAATTTTTTTTTTTAAAGATTTTTTATTTATTTATTTGAGACAGAGAGAGCACATGAGAGGGGGGAGGGTCAGAGGGAGAAGCAGGCTCCCTGCTGAGCAGGGAGCCCGATGCGGGACTCGATCCAGGGACTCCAGGATCATGACCTGAGCCGAAGGCAGTCGCTTAACCAACTGAGCCACCCAGGTGCCCGATAAATAAAATTTTTTAAAAAAAAGAAGAAAAAAGAAAATCTGCATATAATTTTTGACTTCCCAAACACTTAACTATTAATAGCCTACATTGACCACACCTTCCTGATAACCGGAACAGTCTATTAACACATATTTTGTATGTTATATATTCTTACAATAAAATTATAGAAAAGAAAATCATAAGGAAAATACATTTACAATACTGTATTGATTGAACACATCTGCATTAAGTGGACTCACACAGTTCAAACTTGTGTTGTTCAAGGGTCAACTGTAGTTTCAAAAAACAAAATAAAGAATAACCCTAGTTATAAATCCTATGCTCAGATTAATAAATGACTTCCCACTTCCTTTGGAATTTCCCACTTCCCTATCCTTAAAGGCTCCACAAGGGCTACTTCCATGAAGGCTCCATTATGCCTTCTTATGGTTGGAAATCATATCTCCTCTGAACTGACTTTCCTACAAATGTATCACATATTTACATACATATGGTATTTTCATTCTAGGCCATATGCTCTTTGATGCCTCAACCTTTGTGACTTGTTTTATATTCCCAGCCACAGATAACAGAGCTGTGTTACATAGCAGGCTCTCTTACAGTTCTGCTGAAGGCTACTGTGATCTTATAAAAAAGTTGAGCATTCTGTGGTTCCATGGCATCCAATGCATTCTCTAAGTTTTCCAGCTTGGTGGCAGCCTAAAACAAAAGTATCAGTATAATTTTAAAATAAGAAAAAAAGAATACATGACATATACACTAATAAGTATTAATAATAAAAAAAATCTTTGCTTTTACAAATTCCCTCTTGTCCAGTGAAATCTTCTATGTTGCGAAATGTATTAAAAGTTCTTTTAAAAAGCTCAAGAATTATGAATAAAGACTTGAGTTTTAAGATGTGTTTTTTAGGGGTCCCTGGCTGACTCAGTCAGAGAGCATGCGACTCTTGATCTCGGGGTCATGAGTTCAAGTCCCACATTGGGTATGGAAATTACTTACATAAATAAAACTTAAAATAAAATAAAATAAATAAAATGTGTTTTTAAAATATTTGTTATTAAATGGAAACCTCTGGGTAGATAAAGATAGCCATAATATTCAATTAACTATATACGCGAAGCTCCCTCTCCAATAATTAGTTCATGACACACATGAGATATGAAAAATAACATATAATTATAAACATTAATATTATATGAGATCAGATTCTGGATTACCTATATAGTCTGGTTTATTTTAAAATATTTTCTAGAATAGAAAAATCATTAAGACACTGTAAGTAATTTCAATGCCTGGAAAATTTACTGAAGAGTTGCCCCTAGTAAAATTCCTCTGGTATTTACTGAAGAACTTATTAGTTGCCATGACATTTAACAATTTAACCAGAACGAAACATGATTCAAATCTACTACTTGTTATAATACTATTTGCTTCAGACTGGATTTTGGCATTCCATAACCCAGTACATAATCAATGTGCTCATTACTAGAGAAACATGAATCTTATTATAAGGTCTGGTCCAATGGGATGTCATCCTAAGCCCATTTAAATTATGCAAACTCAGTTAAACTGTAAAAAAACTAAGAATTATATTTTGCATATATATTCTTCCATACCTAGCATCACCAGTTACATTAATCATGTATAGGAGTTTTATGTAGAAAACCACATATACTGTAATAAATTATTTAAGGAATTTTCAAGGTATTTTAAGTATTCAATATTTTTGCTTTATTAGTTGATTTAAGAAGCTCATCACTATATTAAAGTGCATTTCTAGGAATCAAGTAAAAACTACCATGGCATACATTCTGAAAGAGCTCTTCAAGGCTCTAATGTACAGGCATATGTGTGTGTAACTACATATTTTTTAATACAGGAAACTTAAATAATACAACTTACCTTCTCTATGTCCCCCTCCCTACACAAATAGTAAAGAGCCAGGATCCTTAGCGCTTCCACATTTTGATTATCCTGAAGCATTAACCTGCAGAAAAACATTTCACTTAATATTGAAATAAACTTAATGCGTTTTTTTTTTTAAAGATTTTATTTATTTATTTGACAGAGAGAGACACAGCGAGAGAGGGAACACAAGCAGGGGGAGTGGGAGAGGGAGAAGCAGGCTTCCCACTGAGCAGGGAGCCCAATGCAGGGCTCGATCCCAATACCCCGGGATCATGACCTGAGCCGAAGGTAGATGCTTAACCGACTGAGCCACCCAGGCGCCCCTTAATGTGGTTTCTTTTATTTGAGGGTTTGAAAAGGCAGTTTGCTGGTCTGACTATTCCACTGTCTAAATAAGAATTTTAATTAGTAAGATAGCATATCCTTTATGAAAATTATCAACCTCATTATTTAAGCTAAAAAAAAAATTTCTGAATCTTTAATATGTTTTAAAAAGATATGAATAGATTGTATCAGTCCCTTTAAATCCTTTGGCAATCCAGGGTGCCTGGGTGGCTCAGTCGTTAAGCATCTGCCTTCGGCTTGGGTCGTGATCCCAGGGTCCTGGGATCAAGCCCCGTGATAGGCTCCCTGCTCCGCGGGAAGCCTGCTTCTCCCTCTCCCACTCCCCCTACTTGTGTTCCTTCTCTCACTGTGTCATTCTCTGTCAAATAAATAAATAAAATCTTAAAAAAAAAAAAAAATCCGTTGGCAATCCTAAATAAAGTATTAGTTAACCATATCCAACAGTATATTAAAAGAATAATTTGGGGCACCTGGGTAGCTCAGTTGGTTAAGTGTCCGATTCTTGATTTCAGCTCAGGTCATGATCTCAGGGTTATGAGATCGAGCTACCTACATCAGGCTCTGCGTGGTGTGTGGAGCCTGCTTAAGATTCTCTCTCTCTCCCTCCCCCCATCACCCTCTCCCTCTCAGAAAAAAAAAAAAAGAATAATTCACCCTGACCAGGAAGATGTATTACAAGAATTTCAGGAATGAAAAGATGGGTTAAACATTTAAAAATCTGTTAATGTAATTCACAACATTAAAACAGATTCCTATGTGATAAAAACAAATCAGAAAAAAATTAGTAACAACTCCCCTTTCCCAAAAAAGACATAAACTTAGTAAAAAATATGCAAAAGCTATATAAATTCCTAAACTTTACTCAAGGACATTTGAAAAACTGAACAAATGGGGTAACTAACACACTAGGTTTCTTCTTATCATGAATGGTGTGGTACATTGAATTATTAGCTTCAATCTTCCCACCTTCCATTAATACATGCTTTCCACCATGAAAGTGAGCAGTTCCTCCCATAAATGCTGACATGTACTTTACTGCTTCTTGGCTATGGACCTGGACATTTTCCTTATATTGGTCAATGGAATGTGAGTAAGAATGGAAGTGTGCCACCCCAAAGTTTCAGAGGCACTGAATATTTCTGCCTGTCCTCTTGCATCTCTGCTATCACCATGAGAAGAGTTTCCTCTGGGTAGCTGCTGCTCTCTGGCTTGAGCCCAGAGAAGAACACCCTTAGAGCTGACCAGAGACCAAACTGCAACGAGGTGCTACACCCAGCCAGCTGGATCTAAAATTTGAAGCAGAACCCTGGGCAAGCCTGGTCGAGGTCAGATGATCCTTACCAAAGTGAGAAATGAGTGCTTATAGTCATATGCCCTGAGATCTGTAGTTGTTTGCTATGCCCCGATAGCTGCCCCATGATAATACTCATCTTTGGTTAAAAAATATTTTTCCCCAAATAATCTATAGATTTAATGCAATTCAAACCAAAATCCTATAAGGTTGTTTTTTTTTTTTTTTAACTTGGTAAGTTAATTCTGACAGTCAATTGCAAAAGAAGAGCCAAGAAAACTATCAAAAAAGAAACATGATAGAGAACTTGCCTTAAAAAATAGAAAAATCCATTAGAAATATAGGAAAGGCTAGACCCAGTTTAAAAAAAAAAAAAAAAAGGACCAGTCAGCATGGGGGGGGGCTCGGTGAATAGCTTTTGGTATTAAAAAGATGCTCAATCTCAACATAATTGAAGAAATGAAAATAAAAATAAGGTTTGATTCTACCAGATTCTACCACTTTTATTCTATCAGATTGTTAAAAACAAAAACAAAAACACCACACCAATAATAGCCAGAATTAATAAAGAAGGGGGAGGGGGCATCCAGTAGACTACTGATGGGAGTATAAATTAGCATAAATTCTTAGGAGAACAATTTGGTAGTGTGTTCCAGAATTTCAAACATGCATACCTGAGGTAGAGACTGCAATCTGTCCCCTCAAATCCATTCTCTCTTTATTTGCTTGGGCACACAGCTAGCCTACATTTTCCTGCCACCTTTGCAATTAGATGTGGCCCATGGGAGACAAAGCACTGTATGCCACTTCTGGGCCAGGGCTTTTAAGAAAAGTGGAATGACTCCACCCTCTTTCCCTTTGTACCAGCTGGATAGCAATGTCATGAGGTTTTAGGACAAGGCAGGGTTGCAAGACAGAAAGGGACTAGGTCCCTTAATGATGGTGTGGAGGAAGGCTGCTTGATCAAGATTTACACCCACTCAAAATAGTTACATATCACAAGAAAAATTCTATTATGTGTTTAGATCTTTTTTTTTTTTTATAGGAGCTTAGCCTATCCTAACAAATATGATTCCCTTTAACTCAGTAATCCCTTATTTGGGAAACATCCTCCAGAAATACACCTATTTGTGTATAAAGGGGTGTGTGTGTGTATAGGCCTAAGTGTCTACCAATGAGAAAAGATAAACTATTTGTATGTTTATTTTACAGATGTTTTCATTGTTAGAAAAGAATTATGTATATCTGTGTGAATGGATATAAAAGAACATCCACAAAATACTAAGTTAAAGAAAAACCAAGTTTAGGGGCACCTGGGTGGCGCAGTATCTAACTCTTGGTTTCAGCTCAGGTAGTGATCTCAGGGTTGTGAGATCAAGCCCCGCATTGGGCTCCATGCTCAGCACTGAGTCTGCTTGAGTTTCTCTCTCCCTCTCCCTCTGCCCCTCCCCACCACAACATGTACTCTCTCTCTCTCTAAAATAAATCTTTAAAAAAAAAGAAAAATCAAGTTTATAAACTATATAACAAGTCTATTTTTTACACACATCCCCCAAAATATATTTTTTATATATTATCCCCTCACCCCCTCACTCACACAGTGCCTAGAAATCTAGAAAAATATAAATATCAAAGAGTTACTAATGTCCAAATTGTGGCCTCCAAATATCATTTCCCACTAAAAGGGATTAGACTGCATTCCACAATGGCTAATACCTGTTTGGGGCAGTAAATATACAAAATGACCCTAGTATATCTTGCTGTATACCAAATAGCAAGGAAACTATCAAAGACTACTAGGATCATATGAAAAGAACTTAAAAACTAACTTGAAGAGGCTACTAAGAGCCAAAGATGAGACAATTTGAGCAATTATAATAACCAAAATGGTTAGAGACATGTAAGTTTAATCTATGTCATATAAACAAATCCAAACTACTGATCAGTCACTACTGCAGGATGCCAGGGAATTTTTAAACTTTTTTTGGTTTTTGAAACCCAGAAATAAAAGACTCAAGCACTTATCCAATTTTTCTTATATGAACTATAGCACCAGATAACCACCAGTAGATTAGAAGGTTTTTTTTTTTTTTAATAGTATTCCAGCTAAGAAATGAAGAAAGAATGATATAATCATATTAATCCTACAGCACCCACATACTGAGCATAAATTTCTGAGCCACCTGGGTGGCTCAGTCAGTTAAGTGTCCAACTCTGGATTTTGGCTCAGGTCATGGTCTTGGGGCTGGGAGATCGAGCCCCGCACTGGGTGTGGAGGCTGCTTAGGATTCTCTCTCTCCCTCTGCCCCTCCCCCCACTACCTCTCTTAAAAAAAGAAAATTCTGCTAATAGCACAAAAAGACAAGCACAGATTATGTCCCTTTGATGAAAGAACACATCACCACTTACTAAATAATTGCAAAAAAAAAAAAAAAAAATTGAACATGAATCTAACCAAGCCTCTATATCCAGTACCAATTTATAGGAAATTCATAGGATAGCAACAAGTTATGTGGTACATGGCATGTAGTCAATAAAATTCGTATGGAAAACCTACAGGATAAAAGACTGGTTTCTTTAACTTACACATCAAAAAAAAAAAAGGGGGTGGGAGAAGTGGGAGGCAGGTGGAGGGAGAAAAAAGGAAAATGAGAAGGGGCGGAGAGAGAAAAGGAACCCTCCAATGACTTCACACTTCAGAAGAAAAATCCAAATCCTTAAGATGACCAAGACCTTTCATATCCTGGCTCCCTAAGACCTTTCACATCCTGGCTCCCTAAGACCTTTCACATCCTGGCTCCCCAGCTCCACCCTTCTGCTCTGACTTCACTGTCCAGTCATTTTATCCCCTCCTACTCCTTAAAAATATGACACAAACTTTTGCCTCAAGGTTTTCGCACTTGTTTTTCCTTCTTTCTGCAAAGTCTTCTTCCAGATATCTGCATGGCTTGCTCCCTTAGTTCAAACGCCATCTGCTCACTGAGGCCTTCTCTGGTCATCCCATCGAATGGAACCCTTCCCCCCACTCCCTATTTCCTTCCCAGCTTTATCTTGTTCTCCATAGCAAACTCTCTAAAATACTACATAACCTCTTATTTGTTCTGCTTTTTATGTGGTTCCTCTCATTTGAATATAAGCTTCACAAGGGCAGGGTCATTTTCCATAAAAGAGTGTCTTTGAACAGCTATTCAGATATTTACATAAATCAATAAATTGAGTTTTTAAAAATCATGCAATGTTAAGTTCTTCAATTCTATATTGTTTGAAAACATCAAACTTAAAATATGAAAAAATCAAACTTAAAATATGATAAAAATATATAGTTGTTTTTTTTTTCCTGGAAATTATAACCAGATCCAAAGGTACTTGTATTATATTTTTTTACTTAACCTCTGTGCTGTTTCAACAGTCTGGTCCCAATCCTGTAAGGCAAGTTGTAGTTTCATTTTCTTTACAAAAGCAGGAAGGAAACTTGGAAAGTTCACTATTATCTGGTTCACAGTCTCCAGAGCACCGGAGTAATTCTGGCGCATCTCAAGGCATTGCGCCTAATGGGAGAAAAAATGTGATATCAAAACTGTGATCATATATACCAAGGTTCTCACAACAGTTATCCTGGAAGAGGTACAATACTAGTGTTTAACACATTCTATATTTTTGTTTTCTGACTTTTCTGTAGGGAACAGTTATTTTTATAATGAGAAGTACAAAATAAGTTTTTAACAAAACAAAAACTTCAAAACATTACAGAACAATAAAAATATTTTATGTAATTGACTTTGTTATAAAACCCTAATTTGAATAACTAGAAGAGAACAATTATCTTTTAGAATAAAATATTTCTAGGTTATTTGCAAAAAGCATCTAAAATGAAGAGATTTTGTATGTTTTTTTAAAAAAATTACTTTCAGGCTAAAGAAGATAAGACTTTAAAAAATAAGCAAAATAAAGTTCAAGCAACTCCTTCTAGCTCAACATTTTCAATTCTAGAAAGTATTTTAAGGAAATAACTGAGTAAGACCACAAAAAAATATAGATTATAGTTATGGCAGATTTCTAATAGATATAATGGAAAAAATAAAAATAATCCAAAATGTCCATACAGGATTAAATTATAGCCTATCTATTTAATCAAATTTTAGGTGGTTATATGGATTTGTAGATCTATAGTTACTGACATGAAGAGATGTCATTTATAATGCAATAGTTTAACTAGTTATCTTTAATGGTGATATTTATTCTTAATTCAGATATTACTGAATTGTGAATATTTTTTACAATGTTTATGTATTACTTTCATAGTCAGAAAAAATAAAGCTATAGAGTTACTGCTTTAAGAAAAGATATGAGGCATATTTATCACATATCAGATTTTTAAAAATTTGCTTCGAGATCTCCTTTAGGAATAAATTTAGTCCTGGAATATCTCAGTTCAAAATGATCATCCAGTCTCAAAAGATGCAATATAATCCTAAAATTGGTTTGAGATTATATTTTCATGTATATTCCCATATAATTATATTCCCATATAATTAAAGTCTGAGAACCATCCAAAGATGCCATTATGTCAAAATAAATTACTATTAAAATTTCTAAATAGCTGAGAAAGATTAATGCAGAGCATTTTTTCAAATTACATATATCTTTAGAATCTGTCTAAATAGCTGGTAATGTAAAAAAAGAAAATCATGTTAAAAGACCACATCTATTACTTCCTTAGACTATCATCTCCCATATGATGCCACATACATATTAAATGAAACTAAATTTGCTGTGTATTTGGTTCACATCATTCCAAGTTGGAATTAGGCTAATGCAAACATCCTCTATTGAATTAATTGAAAAATAAATACATAATTGGGATGAGTTGTAGCAGAAAAAGAATTTAAACCAATCTTAAGTATAGGATGAAAAAGGTAAGTCCCTCCTAAAATATACTAACACCTGAAATTGCCCCACCTTAAGAGATTATCAACTAGCTTTTCTTTAAGAAATAGGGAGGAGGAGAAATGATCAAAAAAAACTTTTTAAAAACTTGATAAATACTCAATTCCTCTAGCAGTGCCTTTAGGTAAAACTTGACTCCAATCAGCTGGAATGCTAGTGTATACCATAGGTGCATATCTGAACAAGCTCACTAGCCACAGAAATTGACAAGAGTGATGAGGGGATATTAACAACAGCCAAGACACTAATAATCCTCTCCTCTTCCTTTTTATCCCCCAATTACTGCTTATCTAACAAGGTGTTTTCCTAACATATACATTTAATTTCTTGTTGCCAAATCAAAAATATGAAAAATTTTAAGGCGTTCTAAAGGCATCAATGGAACTGAAGAAAGGCCCGAATTATACATTTCTACCTACCAATGATTTCTAATGACTCTGTCAATTAATTGCTCATCCCTCACAATATAAGTCAGATCATACTGTTTCTCTTTTCATCGGCTGCCTATCTGGTTCAAATTAAAAGCCAAAGGCTTTATACAATCAGCCCTGCCTCTCCTCATTCCCCCCATGCCCACCTGCCCCCACACCCACCTTCTTTTCCTCTAGTCTCCACTTCTAACCTCCGCTTTACTCATTCCACTTTCATGTCCTGGTCTCCCAGCAATACCCTGAACATGCCTTAAGGTATTTCAACTTGTTATCTCCCCTATTTGTAATGCTTTCCTGCAGGAGCCCACGGAGCTTCAACTCTCACCTCCTATATATGTCTTTGCTCAAATGTCACTTTCTCTGACCACATCATTTAAACCTACAAATTCATAACCCAGCTCTACATCTCCCCCTTTACCTGATTTATTTATTTTTCCATTGCACTTATCACCTTCTAATACGCTACATAATTTACTTATTTATTTTTTATTATGTTATGTTAATCACCATACATCATTAGTTTTTGAGGTTTACTTATTTATTTTATTGTCCGTCTCCAACAACAGAGTATAAGCTCCAAAAAGCAAGAAGTTTTATTTTGCTTCAGGGTATCCCTAGTATCTGGAGTGATGCCTTGCACACATTAGACTATAAATTTTTAGTGAGTAAATGATATAGGAACCGCCACCAACAACAATTAAAACCAATCAAGATTTAGGAATTTGGTAAGGAATACATCTCTCTAGTTTGTTGTTCACTGTCCTGTACAAATAAAATCCAAGTCCCTCCCATAACTGAGAGCTGATAAAAGTAACATGACAATTATTATCTTTTTTGGGCTACTCATTTTGTTGGGTTTCCAATATATTATGAATAAATTTTAAAACATGATTTATTTACCCTCACTCCAACTCACCTTACCCAGCAGAGCGAAAATATCATTTCCGTCTTGTAATCCCTCCTCAAAATATCTCAGTGCTTTTTTAGTATAAGGTTCTTTTCCTCTTGTGATATCAAGCCATGCTCTCAAAACCTGTCCCTGTAGAATGAAAAATTCTAATCATACTTTCATTTTATTGTAAATGAAAGAAATAAATGTTGATGAAAGAGGTAAACCTAACATCCTTTTTTGTGATTAGTAACAAAAAATCACTCTGTCAAAAATGTTATGAATAATAAGAGTGTTCAGTAAAACTGTTTTCAAACCCTTTCCAGCCTAAGTCTCAGGAACTGTTATGTATTTCAGCCCTTACGGTTACAACATATTCAATATTAATATTAAGAAACTTATCAAACATTCCATTAATCCTAAATAACCAATATTCTTACCTGGGACTTTGCTAGTAAATTACTTTAGTAATTTGTGCCACTGAAGCGAGCACTAGTAAATTATTAATAGTAATTGTTAAACATGTAATTCAATACACAAACAAGAATCCATTACCTCTTTTTTTGGGCAAACAGACCAAGTGAACTAAGATGGAAAAACAGAAGTGTCTTGCTTGATACGTATTAAAAATTAAGATAATCTGGCAACTATCTTAATCCTTGTGACTCGTCCACTGAGTTTCAAATGAAAGGAAAAATGGCCTCAGAAATCAAAGACTGAAGAAGTCATGGATGCTTACTTTCAGAAATGCTACTGAGTCAGCAGGTTATAAGGTTTATAGGATTAGAAAGAAGATGGATACATGTTACTGTACTTTTCAGTGTCCAAAAAAATTGTGAAATCTGTTCTTCTATCAAAAAATTTCTAGGTTAACTCATAAACTTGTAAATCTTTAAGATTATATTTACCTCCCTGCATTTCACTTGAAAAGAAAGATATGAATACTAAAACAATGCTATTTCTCTCTTTTTTTTTTTAAAGATTTATTTATTTATTTGAGAGAGCGAGAATGAGAGAGAGAGAGTACATGAGAGGGGGGAGGGTTAGAGGGAGAAGCAGGCTCCTCGCCGAGCAGGGAGCCTGATGCGGGACTCGATCCCGGGACTCCAGGATCATGACCTGAGCCGAAGGCAGTCGCTTAACCAACTGAGCCACCCAGGCGCCCCTATTTCTCTCTTTTTTAAAGATTTTATTTACTTGAGAGGGCAAGCATGCGCATGTGTGCAGGAGCAGGGGTGGGGGCAAAGAGAGAGGGAGAGGGACAGCAGGCCCCTCACTGAGCAGGGAGCTGGATGCAGGGCTAGATCCCAGGACCCCAGGATCATGAACTGAGCTGAAGGTAGAGATTTAACCCACTGAGCCACCCAGGTGCCCCTAAAACAATGCTATTTCTATTCACTAGATCAATGTCTGTATTTGAATCATTTCAACTATTGTCTCTGTGTGGATGATGCCCAGCCTTTTTTCTAGTCCAATACCTCATCTAAACTTTTCTTTTTCCAAAAGCTCATCTACTATCTCCATCACACTGTTCTACCAGAGATGGAAACACAGCATGTCTGGAACCAAATATCCTACCCCCTCCAAGATTACCTTCTCATCCCAACATTCTCTGTTCATGTTAACCTGAACCATGGTCTCTGAACTGTCCAGGCTTAAGACCTCAGAGAGACATCCTTGATATCTGACACCTCAAAATCTTGCCCCTGCCACTTATAATCAGTTGACAGCTCTTGTGGGTATTTAATAATTCTCAAACTTATACCCATGGTACAATATTTTAGTCTAGGCTCACAAAACCTTCTGTCAGAAAGCATGTACTACCATTTTTGGGGCTGCACTCTAGTTTCTCTCCACACCAATTCATCCTATAAACCATCATTAAATCAGTCTTGTAAATTTGCACTCTAATAATACCACTGCCACGATTAAAAACCTCAATAACGGGGAGGCCTGGGTGGCTCAGTTGGTTAAGCGTCTGCCTTTGGCTCAGGTCATAATCCCAGGGTCCTGGGATTGAGTCCCGCATCGGGCTCCCTGCTCATTGAGGAGCCTGCTTCTCCCTCTGCCGGCCATTCCCCCTGCATGTGCTCACTCTCTCTCTCTCTCTCTCTGACAAATAAATAAAAATCTTAAAAAAAAAAAAAACCACACACACCTCAATGACCTCTCCATTGCCTATCAAATTAGATATAAATATGTGTATACATCTCCTTGTTTTTCTTATTTCCATTTATTATTTCCCACCTTGGGAGTACTGCTTCCCTTTTCCATCATCTTTGCATTTGGAAACTGTATCCATCTTTCAGGTTTCAGCTCAAATGCTACTTCCTTCAAGAAATTCTTCCTCATTCTCCTAACACTTATAGATGCAATCTCTCCTTAAACTCTTAGAACAATGCCTAGCACAAAGTAAGTGAGCAATAACTTAATTACTATTTTATATTTTAATCACATGTCTCTCATACCACTTATAAATGTTCTCATAATATTAGCTGGGTATGTGCTCTATAACACTACTAGACTGATCCATCCATGTAAGTAAAGTTTATGTATTCCTGATCTTTGTATCATTAACAGTGCAAATATCAGTGCCTTGTATCTAGAGTTCGATAAGGAAAGTGAGAGGAAAGGACAGATAAGGAAGGAAGGGAGGAAAGGGACCAGGGAGGAATCTTTTAAAGAGTTAATAAATAGCATAAAAACAAACAACCTTAGACAACCACAATTTTACAAAATAAAGCTTTTACAATCTTTTACAATAGTTTTGTAATATTTACAATATTTACAAAATATTAAAATAAAGCTATTTATAAAACGAGAATAGAGTAGAATAATAAGGAATACTACTGAAAATATAAGCTTCTTTTACTAGTGTATCTATTTCAAAATAAGAAACCCAGTTACCTCTTTATTGCCATTTGACATTTTGATCATTCTGTCAATATACTCTCTAGCCTTGTCATGACGGCCAATGTGCCATAGAAATAAGCCTGCATGGTACAAAGCTTTCGGCCCAGCTCCTTTACGTTGCTCCTTCACTCTGGCATCTGATTCCAGAATAGCTTCTCTATCTAGGAGGGGAAAAAAGGCATTAAATGAAAATTAAATTCTAGATCAAGTGTTCATAATGGGTCAATTAACAGAGCACAGAATATAGTTCTCTCTATAGCACCACTGTCTAATAGAAATAAAATACAAGCCACATTTGTAATTTAAAATTTCCTAGTAGCCACATCAAAGTAGCAAAAAGAAACAAGTAAAATTGATTTCAATAATATTTTATTTAACCTAATATATCCAAGTTATCATTCCAACACAAAATTGACATGAAAATTGAGATACTTTATTAAATTTTTAAAATCTCATATGTATCTTATACAAAGTATATCTAAATTATGATGCTAAATTTTCTTCAAAAATACTTGATTTGGGGCGCCTGGGTGGCTTAGTCTGTTAAGCATCTGCCTTCAACTCAGGTTATGATCCCAGGGTCCTGGGATCGAGCTCTGTGTCAGGCACCCTGCTCAGCAGGGAGTCTGCTTCTCCCTCTGCCCCTCCCCCTCTCATGCTCTCTCTCTCTCTCTCTCTCTCTCTCTCTCTAATAAAAAGTTTAATAAAAAAATACTTGATTTGTACTTAGATTCCATAAAATTTATAGCTAAAAATAGCAGATTCATATATTCACTATTCCAAACATAACTTTTCTAATAACTGAATCAAGTATCAGTTTTTAAACTTACATTTAATTAAAATTAAATGTGTATTTTAAATTTAGTCTCTCAAACTAGATACATTTCAAGTACTCAGCAGCCACGTGTGGTTAATGATCACTGTAATGTACACTATAGTTCTACAGTTTACGTCATTCTCAAGATCTAAAGGCTAAATATGCAAATTTTTTTAAATAATAAGACTTGAAAAAATTAGCAATGATTCTAAAATTATTAGGGGCAAATCCAAAACTAGTACTCAAATTACCCAACTCCCTAATCCAATTCTAAAATATGTAAACATTCCTGGCTATTGTCATAGGCCAGTGAAAGGTAATATAATTACTATTATTTACATGGTTTAATACCGACTGCTTGGCAGCTCCCTTACAAAGACGGTCTACCTCTAATAACTCTAACCATTAAATCTATTAGGTACGTACTTAGGACACAAATGTCAATTAGATCCAAATCCTGAATTGAATCAGAATATGGATCAGCTATGCAATAAGTTATAAGAAATGTCAAAGTTGAAGACTGTGATTCTAACCAACTACCTTTCTGGAAATACCAGAAAACGGTATTATCTCTTCCTTTTATCTCTAATGATACCAATGTAAACTTACATTTTGAGCTCACAAAACAAAATTGTTTTTGGAAGGCTACAGATTGCCTGGCAAGAAGACCCTCCAACACTCCCACTTGAACACCTTCATAAGTTCTCATTAAATAGTCATGATACAGAAAGAGAACTCATCAGGGCAGGGGCAGGATTTGTACTTTCCTGCTAGATGTCCATCAAGTCCCATGTGGGGCATCTGTTAGCTGTGACACCATCTGCACAAAGCTGGCTCTTACCAGATATCAGCTCACGTTCTTAAAGCACGACAGCCCTTTTATAATCAGGGCTTATGTCAGCATTTAGGAAGAATGAACGTGAACAATCAAGGGCCTTCCTAGGCAATACTGATGGACATCTGGGTCTCTCCTGAGCTTAACCCCACTCAGAATCATCTACGGCAGAAAGTAGAGTCAGTACTCAGGTGTTTCTACACAGTATTTCTGCCTCCATCTTTTTACTGTCCTGGAAATCACATTTCCCAACAGAACCAACACCCCTTGAGAACAACCAATTAAATGAAAACGTGATTCTAAGAGGAAAATATTTGGTACTAATTTGTTTTTTAGATTTACTGGCTATATCTCTCCATGCAAATTCTCTGCTCTACCTAATACACTCCTGCTGGATCAGAGACCCATACAAGAGCCTAATCCTGAACCACTTCGACATATTTCCCATCGATTTAGCCTGACAAATATGCTTTATATTCAAATCCTACTTGTCCTTCAAAGACCAGATTAAGGCCCCACAAAACCTCCACAGCCTTCTACGGATTAACAGTACATAATCATTTTCAGTTAATTATGGACTCATTTGTTTTCTCATAATTTTATTTAATAGTAACATTAGCATTTAACCTTTGTGGGTTTTACATTTTCTTTTCTTCACTAGACTATAAACTTGATGTCACAGACCACTTTTTACAATTCTTTTGTATTCTCTAACTATATTTGACATAGTCCCTTGCAGAAAGTAAGCATCTAGTCATTAGATTTGTTTACTTGTTACACATATTAATGTTTTAAATAACTTTTTGTTCATTTGTGCAAGTGTATGTGAGGTGAAGGAGGTATGTGATACTTTGCTAAGGAAAAAAATTTTCTAATATTAAGAAAAAATTCTGTGACATCTGATTACTGTCTAATTATTTGAAACATGATCTATATTTACAATGCTATTAGCTGTTAGTGAATGTATATAAAAGAATACAATACTATTTCCTCTTTATTACCTATAATTATGATATTCTGCTTCCACCATTAAGATCCACCATATATTGACAGTTCACATAATTTTAATTGCTGGTTTATGCATAAAGTTCTCTCTATAATTTACTTATACTTTCCAGCCGACTACTGGATAAAAATTTACTGCATATCTTCCAAGAGCTAGCAAGCCCCCTGTGGGGATGTGTACAGGCCTTGAAGAAGCTTAAGATACAGTGGAAGAGATAAATTGCATATAGCTATAGATTTGCACATAACAAGCTATAAAGTTGGCTGCTGCAGAGCAATTTCCGCATATACCTCTTTTGCGCTGTCCTTTGCTTAATAACTGCCAATATACATTCAACTTGATATTAATTCCAATGATCCCTATATAGAAATGAAACTTCTGTCGTAAGATATATGGAATATGAAAGGGATATAAGACACATATTTCTTGTGCTTGACATATTTGTAACCTTGTCAGGGAAGATAAGACAAATTGATAAAATAGTATTCACAGAAAATTATAATATAGTATTATTAGACTAAGTGCAATGGTAATTGAGAAAAATCAAAATGAATTGAGTAGAAAAAATTGTCTTAAGCCTTAAACTTAAATACTATACCTGGATTAGGACTCATTTTATGGGCATATATCAGTGCAATTAGAGAACAAAGTGATACATCTTGTTTATTTTTAATAGCCTCAAATTCGCGAAGAGCTTCTTGAGTTTTACCTGAAAATCAAAATTATAATGTGAAAAACTGTTCATACTACAAAACAAGAACTTAAAAACGTATGGAACATGTTTAATAATTAGCACGTACCTTCCATTAATGTACCATAGGCATGATAAAACCTGAACACTGGGTCATTGCCATACCTCTTAACTCCTTCACTGGCAGTAAGTAACACATGATGGAAATATTTCTCTTGACAATAGTAATTAATCAAAGTCTAAAAGGAAATAAGGACTAAATGTTAAAAGAGATTTTGCTGTTCTGAAATACCATAAGAAACAGATATTTACCTAAAATCTTGAATAATCTAAAATTCAGATGTGATTTTTTTTTTCTTCCAAGTTCCTGAAAATATTTTAAAGACTAGCACTTAACACTAAGGAATGCAAAACACAATGAACACAAAATTTTTGAAAAAACTCAATGTTTCCTAATAATTTCAGTCTTCTTTTTCTAAATTGTTTGTTAACAATACTGAAGTTGGGCTACTTTCACCTCTCTCCTTTCCTTTGCCCATATTTTCTTAAAGGTTTTAGAAAATGGGAAAACAGACAAAAAACAGGAATAATAAGAGGCTTCCATTGCCAGACCATAGGATTCTTTTTTAAAAAATCTTGCTTCTATTTTGTTGTTACAGCATTACAAAGTAATAACAAACTGAATTCAGCAATTCATTGTCAAATGTTGTCTTGTTCTCTGAGTTCTACAACAAATCACTGTCAGTAAGAACAAATGATCTAAACTGTTTCTTAATGGAAATTACTATCTTTAAGCCCTTTCTGAAATTGTTTTATTTAGATTTACATGGCAGAAAACTAGTATTGGGAGATACTAAGTTCAGATTAATTGGGTCTATGCTTTACACCTTTTGCTCAGGATCATGTGTAAGGCTTGGTTGCTAACCTAATCAAAGAGGGAAGTCAGATTCACTATCACTGAGATACACCTGATTCACCTCCATTAACCAATCTGGGCCATCCCATACTCACCTACTGACTCTGAAGCTGGTACAGCAGGGGCGAGAAATAAGGATGAAGCAGCAACTGACAGGATTGAAATATGAGTGTCTAAACTGCTCTTTTTTTTACAATCTGTTGTTTCTGAAGGGCTACAGTTCACATGCTTCTCTAGAGCAGTTAGGCAAACATTCTCTGTAACTTCTACTCTGCTTCCCTCCTTGCGGTTACTGCTCTCTAGTTCCTGTGCCCCCCACAGCACACTCCAGTAAAGTGCAGTTTTGCTCCAGTGCCCTTCCCTAAGATCGCAGATGACCTCTTAGTTTACCACAACTGAGGACTTCCGTTCAGCATTTAAGCACCTACAACTCTCCTGAAAGGTATCATAAAAAGGACATGGATTTAAAGGTGAAAAGAACTGTTTTTAAATTTCTGGTCCATCTTACAGCACCTTAGTTTGCTCATTTGTAAAAAGGCTGTTAGTTATTTACGGATCATTGTGAGAATTAATTATGACATTATACTGTAAAGCTCCTAAAAAAATAAGTTCCTCTGAACCCCATACATTGATGAAGTAAAAAACGTAGTATCCAATCAAGACCTCTCATCTAAGCTCCAGATTCATCTTTCCATTTGCCCCTGCTACCCAAGCCCGAAATCAAGTCATGGCATGCTCCCTTCCAGTTTGCCCAGTCCCCCGATTCTAACCAGTCAGTAAGGCTCTTCTGTTTCTCTAGCCTACGGCCTACTCTCCATACCTTACCACTCCTTGGTTTGTTCAGTCCAACAAACATTTACTGCCTACCAGTGCCAGGCACTGGGCTAGATGCTGTGAATGTGAAGATGAGTAAAATATGGTTCCTAACCCAGAAAAGCTTAAATTCTCCAACTGAGACTAGAATCTAAAGACTAACAAATACAATGCAGTAAATGCAAGCAAGAAAAGAGCTTAGAAAGTGCTTTAGGGATGTCGAAGAATGACGCTGGGGTACGGGAGGATGGAAGAATAAAAGTAAGGGAAAGATTCTCTGGGAGGACTTCAGAACTGCCTCTTGACTCGTGAACTCCTCACTCTCCCTCCACACATACACATTCTCCCTATTTCCCTTTCGAGATCCTCGAGGAAGACAGAAGACTTAGCCAGGCACGGTAACCTCAAAAACAGACATAAGAAATCAGCAACGATACACAAGGATGGGGTGGGGATGGAGAGGACTGAAAGCCATTTTATTTTGTAGAGCAGAGATTGGCAAACTATGGCCTGCTGCATCTCTTTGTACGGGCAGCAAACTAAGAATGGTTTGTACATTTTCAAATGGTTGAGGGGGAAAAAGAAAAAAAAAAAGCAAAAGAAGAAAAAAATACTCATAATGTGAAAATTTTAAGAAATTCAAACTTTAGTGTCCATAAATAAAGTTTTATTGGAACAGGGCTGTGCTCATTTGTTTAAGTATGTCTATGGCTGCTTTCAAGCTACAATGACAGATTAGATGACGGAGACACTCTGGCCTGAAAAACCCAAGAAAATGTACTATTTGACCCTTTATAGGAAAAGTTTGCCATTCCCTGTTTTAGAGTCTTAAGAAAACAGATAATAGAATGAGGAGGTTGGAGAGAAAGGTAGGGTCTAGCAGGGCCTCATATTAAGTCCTTGGATTTGCTCTTCTAGTCTAAGTGATGAGGAATCACATAACTGTATTTAGCATGAAAGTGTTTTTATTAAAGATTTCATTTGGGTGGTAGTGGAAAGGATAAATTAAAGTGATGAAAAAAATTAAGTAGATGGGGAAAGGTAGCTCAGGCAAAAAAAGCTGCCAGCGCTCCCTATCACTGCCAAATTGTCCTTCATCCACTTATCTCCACCTAACATGGTACTTCCTGTCTCTCACCCTACTCAAATGTAAGCTCCAAAGACTGGGAGAATTTTTCTTAGTTTTAATATTGCAGGGCTGATTATCTTCAGGGCCTAGAATAGCGCCAGCAATATAGCGTGCATTCAATACATATTTACTTACGAACAAGTATTTGTTGGGTTAATTTAAGGTTTTTGTCCAGCATTAGACTGTAAAATCTGTGAAGGCAAGGACGGTCTCCAGCTTCTAGTGGACACAGAGTGAGCCCTCCATCAACATGTGCTGAACGACTTAATCAGTGAACAAATGGAGACTATCACCCTACAAAAAAAACCTTGTAATTCTCAAGCCTCATGCCCCTGTTTTTAGATCATTTCTTAAGGGGTCTGTCATAAAATATTTGCTTAATAGATGATCAGTGACGGAGAGGACCATCACCCTCAAATACTCTTCCGCTTCCAAGCCTCTGTCTTTGTTTTCATGTAATCTTTCCGTGCCCCTTTCTGTGCAACAGGTTTACTGACATGACTTTGCTTAATTAAGTCCTTAAAAATCGCACCGGGAGGCGCCGTTGGTGTTACTCGTTGACCAAGCTTTCTGAGCCGACGGGATACAAAGTACAAGTACACACCACAAACCGGGTGGGACAAGCACCCGACCGCGATGCCTTAGCAGCTTGGCGCGCGGGCTGCCCTGGACCTCAAGATTTCAAAGCAGGGCCCACGGAGGTGGCCCGAGTGATGCAGCTATGGGCCCACACGCCACGCTGGGGCCCCTGGCGAACTGGGGCAGCAAAAGCACAGCAGGGTAATGACGCCCTCGCTAATTCTGCCCCTCCCCAGGCTCCCCGGCCCCCTCGCTACCGGCAAAGGCAGCTCGCTCACCTTCAGCCCCTGCGAATCCATGGCTCCCACGGGGCTGGGTCGCAGGCCTCCAGGCCAAGCGCCCGGCGGAGCCCAGCCGAGCAGCCCGGAGCTCAGCGGCCCCGCAGCCCGGGCCCAAGCCCCGCTCGCGCTCCAGGACGCGGCGGGAGGGGCGGGGCGGGGCGGGCCCGCGCCGCCATTGGCTGCCGGTGGCAGGGGGCGGGCTCTCAACGCAGGGATTTGCGGGGAGGAGGTGCTGCGAGGGAGGAGGTGCTGCGAGGGAGGAGGTGCTGCGAGGAGCCGGAGGAAGGGCTGCGGGTGGGAGAGGGGGAGCGACCTGACGGGGCGGAAGGCGAAGGGGTTTCAGACGAGGGAACGGCCCAAGGAGGACAGCGGGTGGGCGGGCCCGAGGATTTGGAAGGAAGGAATTAAGGAACTAGGGCAGGAAGTAGGAAAAAGAGCAGTGTTTCCCAGCTCTGGCTACAAAGAAAGACACCATTTTCTGCCCGTTTGTGTAGAGGCCAGTTTCCGCAATGCGGCTGTTGGAGGCCTGACCGGCGCAGAGAAAAACCTTTAACTTCACGTGCAGTAGTTGTATTACCGCCGCAAGGTGGCGCAGAAAAGTCACAGTTCTTAACAGAAGGGTGATAAGCTTCTTGAGCTCTTTACAGACATTGCTGCAATCCCGTGTTTGTTAGAATACGCTTTAAACTGGTCCTTTTTTCTCTCAGATAATGACAGAGGCATTTTTTCCAGGATTTTAAGTTGACAATAAAATTACTTCCTGTGCATGGGGCGCCTGGCTGGCTCAGACGTAGAGCGTGTGACTCTTGGTCTCCCGGTCCCGAGTTCTAGACCCACGTTGGGTGTAGAACTTACTTAAAAAAAAAATTCATTCCTGTGCAAACTATTATGTTTGCACCCATTAGGCAACTCTATCAGCTGCTCATAGATTTCTTCAGGTCAGAGAATTAAATTGAATTAAAATGAAGTAAGAGATTTCCTATTTCTGCTTCAAGATACTTTAAAAATAGTGGTAAAGATTTGAGGTTTAAGTGTTCTTTGTAGATTCCAAATTTCCATACCATTGTTAATTATCTTACTTTAGTTGATATATTTGGAAGTTGCCATAATCAAATTTTAAATTTGTTGAGCAGGAGGGGCACCTAGGTGGCTCCACTGGTTGAGCTTCTGACCCCAGGTTTGGGCTCAGGTCATGATCTCAGGGTGGTGAGATCCAGGCCAGTGCCTAGCTCTGTACTAGCTCCTGCTCTCTCTCTCTCTCTCTCAAATAAATAAATCAATCTTAAAAAAAATTGTTGAGGAGACAATGAACATTAGCTTTTTTCCATGCTAGTAGGTTAGGTAATGACAATCTAGAAGGAAAAAGTGGTTACTTTCCCATACTTAAAGCCTAGTAATATTTTTCGTTGGTTTCCTTTTAAAGACTGCTCCACCCAAAAAGGCACATACTGTTTTCATGAGGATTATCTTTTTTGTTTTCCATATTCATAGTCAAGCTAAACAGTGTGGACAACTTGTAAGTGCTGGTCTGATTTTCAAAGCATGTGGCATAATCTGCTCTTTGTATGCAGCAGAAAATACCACAAGCCATGGTGCTCATTAAAGTTTATCATCTTGAACTCTTTGGTTTTGGTTCCAAGTGAAAAGTTCATCTGAAAGAAAATATCTAAGGCTGTGATTAAAGGAACAGGTGGTCAGCTACCTTTCTGAGAACTTTAAAGTTTGTTTTTTTTTTTTTTTTTTTAAGATTTTATTTATTTATTTGACAGAGAGAGACACAGCGAGAGAGGAAACACATGCGGGGGGAGTGGGAGAGAGAGAAGCAGGCTTCCCGCGGAGCAGGGAGCCCGATGCAGGGCTCGATCCCAGGACTCTGGGATCGTGACCTGAGTGGAAGGTAGACACTTAACGACTGAGCCAGCCAGCCCCAGAACTTTAAAGTCTAAACTTCGACTGTAAGACCATTGGAAGGCTGCATGCTTGGACCATATTAATTTAGCCCTTTACAGAATTTCCTTCATTGAATTTTGTTCTAAGGTTAAATTATTTAACACAAAACACCATGCCTAGCACTCCATGAGTGTCTGTTGGATTAAATCTACTTTGGGAATTTGCTTTGACCACTCCTGGCAACTTGATGTTCTCCGCATAAGGTAAAAATTGTCTTTTGGATCTCAGGCCAGGAAAAACTGTCTTCCCTGAAAAACCACGGAATGTGTTCCTGAGCTCGGACATTTTTATCGGCTCACTTTTGCCTACCAACATTTGAGTATGGCATCTAAGACCCTTCACCTCATTGTCTTTTCCAACCTGCTTCACCCTTCCCAGAGCCTTTATTCCAGGCAAACGGGACAACCATTCTTTCTTCTGGGAATGCTTTCCCCTACTCTGAGCTCTTTCTTCATCTGACAAAATCTACTCTTGATTCAGAGTTCATCTCAAATCTCATTCTGTAGGAAGGCTTTAGGATCACCGTAACTGGATGGATGTGAGAGATTGCATGGGATAGTAGCAAGAATATGGTCTCCCAGACCTAAGGTAGAGCTCTTGTCTGTTTACTTTTGTGACTTAGAAAGAAGTAATTTCCTGAGCCTTAATTTCCTTATTTACCAAAGAAACTAAACACTTAACATACATGGAAAGTTCCTGACATATACTAGGCAGTCTACAACCAGTAATTTCCATTAAACATACGGTGCCCTGCAAGACCTACAGCACTTGTATATTCTTTGTATTATGGTCTTGGTGTGCTATTTGCTAATTTAATCTTATTTATTATATGGTGAGCACCTTAAGGCCATGCATGTAGTGTAGTGGGTAAGAGCTTAGTCCCTAGAGATAAATCATCTGGGATCATATCTTAATACTATTATTCACTAGTTGTTCATTTGGAAAAATTACTTAACCTCTCTGTGTTTCAGCTGTAAACTGAGACTAATACTTCAGAGAGTTGTTAAGAAGATTAAATGAGTTAATATTTAATGGACCCAGCAGTATTAGGTACATGGTAAGCAATGAATAACTTTAACCTATAATTATTTGTACTCCCAACTTCTCCAAATATAGAATATAGTATTGATTCTGTAAGCATTTAGTAAATCTTATGAGGACTGTTGGGGCCCTTCAATTGTGTCTCTGTTTAGCTTTCTTTTCTCCCATTCTTAAACTAAGCTACTTTTATCTATATCATTTCATTATATATTCTAGAAGTTAAAGGAAAACATTTAGGAAGAAGTGGTTCTGGTGAAAATAAAAGTAAAAGTAAGAAAAAATAAAACAGAGATATGGAATTTGGAATCTGGTAAGAACTCTAGAAACGATTGTCCAACTTCTTTATTTTACAAAGGAGTAGAATGAAGTCCAAAAATATAAAGTAACTCACCCAAGGTCTCACAGTTCTCTATTTCCAATCTAGCCTCCAAAGCAGTTATGAATAATGGACAAGATGAAGTGTTTTTCTTTTTTCTTAAGGCTATTACTCTAAAGTTGAAACAGGAGATAAAGAGTTTAAAAATGTGTGAAATCCAAATAAACTAGCACACAGTTCAGTCTCAGAGGTGACATCATGGGAAAGTTAGAGATTAATGAAGTCGGGAATTAGAGTTATGGCTCTGACCCTTAATAACTCTGCAACTCTAGGCAAGTGGTTAATCTTTCTCTGCTTTAGTTGATATGTTTACAATTGGAGTAATTGGAAATAGGATCATAATATTTACTTTGTCAATGTATAGACTAAATGAGATTATAGTAAGGTCATTGAAAAATTGAAAAACTCTGTGTAAAAGTTCATATCACATTTACAGAAAAACTTCATAGCACAGTTACAAGAAAGCTCCTTAAGTCATGAGCTGTTTGACTATGGGGCAGCCACCTTACTTCTCTGAGTTTAGGATCCAACCTTTCATATACAGTCTAGTGCTCTTTTCTTTTCCAAATAACACAGTACAAAAGTACCATATTTTTGAATCCTGTATGAAGCATGGTATCTGCTGACATAAAAAATATGATTGTCATAACTCATCCATTTATTTATTTTTATTTTTATATTTTTTATAATGTTATATTAGTTACCATACAGTACATCATTAGTTTTTGATGTAGTGTTCCATGATTCATTGTTTGCGTATAACACCCAGTGCTCCATGCAGTACGTGCCTTCTTTAATACCCATCACCAGGCTAACCCATCCCCCCACCCTCCTCCCCTCTAGAACCCTCAGTTTCTTTCTTGGAGTCCACAGTCTCTCATGATTCGTCTCCCCCTCCAATTTCATTCCCTCTTCATTTTTCCCTTCCTTCTCCTAATGTCCTCCATGCTATTCCTTATGTTCCACAAATAAGTGAAACCATATGATAATTGACTTTCTCAGCTTGACCTATTTCACTTAACATAATCTCCTCCAGTCCCATCCATGCTGATGCAAAAGTTGGGTATTCATCCTTTCTGATGGCTGAGTAATGTTCCATTGTATTTATGGACCACATCTTCTTTATCCATTCGTCTGTTGAAGGGCATCTCGGCTCTTTCCACAGTTTGGCTGTTGCGGACATTGCTGCTATGAACATTGGGGTGCATATGGCCCTTCTTTTCACTACATCTGTGTTTTGGGGGTAAATACCCAGGAGTGCAATTACTGGGTCATAGGGTAGCTCTATTTTTAATTTTTTGAGGAACCTCCACACTGGAGAAAGGGGAACTCTCTTACACTGTTGGTGGGAATGCAAGTTGGTACAGCCACTTTGGAAAACAGTGTGGAGGTTCCTCAAAAAACAACTCATCCATTTAAAATTCTACAATTTTACTCATTTAAGTTAGGGAGAAGACAGTAATGGTCAGGCACATGCCTTTCACATTTCTTTTGCTTAATAACACTATAGAGGAAGTTGAAGATGTGATCTAACTTCTAACAATATATTGTTTAATCATTTATTCATTTCATTCAGCCAAACATTTAATGAGTGCCTATGACTGAGAACAAAATTCTTGTTCCCACCCTCTTATACTTTAAAGTCTAGTAAAGGTAGACAGACATTGAATAGGTAGTCACAAAAGGAAATGAATAAATTACAATTAGTGACAGCTTTAATAGCTGTTTTAGGAAGGCAGTTAAACAAGAGACTAAATTGAGTGGTCTC